CCATAATGCTCCCCAACCCCGCCCCCACCATTGTTCAAGAGTCAACTGCAATTTCCTTACCAGCCGTCGGATACATAGTAAGTTTCCCGCAGATGTTAACTGTGTTTCATGTTTGTCCTTGGGAGGTCTCAGCCTAGGAAGAAAGTTGCCTCCCCTTTTGCAAAGGCAGATTTGGTGGAACATAGTATCTTTATCCTGTGACTAGAAATGGCTGTTTTTAGCTGAATTTCAGAATGTTACATAAATAAGAGTGTTGATTTTTGTAGGCAGCTTCAGATTCTCTTATTTTCTCCTCTCCTGGCGCTCACCGAGGCCCGGTGTGAGCCTCAGCCGCCGTGAGAGCCCCTAGCGGTCTGACGCCGAGGTCAGCGCCGTGCACCCTGGCTGTGCGGGAGGCCGGCGAGGGCCCGGGTCGTGCTTTTCCTGTGGGTGGACTTAGGTTTGTCTTACTGAATAAGATTTATATTCGTTTTTATACTGAAGCTTGGAGGAAGATTCTCAAGAACTTGGGCTTTTTGCAGGGCTGTATGTGAAGATTTGAAACCATCAGTGTCTGTTAATTTGTTTACTGGATGAAAAGCTGTCACTAACATTACTCTGGGAAATGCAGTATTTTTAAAAAGTGGCTACTTATGAATATACTTTTAAAAATTTGGCACTATATCTTAGGAATTCTTTTCAGTATTATTTTAAGCCCACATATTCCTAGACATAACTATAAACTGCAAATTTTGTATTCCAGTTCATTTACTAAATAATTTTACTAAGAGAATGTCCCCCGTATGTGCTTATGGTTTTTAAATTAGTAGCTCAACAGACAGACAATGGAAAACAAATTTTGCAAATTTACTTCCTTTCTTCAAAATTGGCTCAATTTTATGATGACAGATATTTTTTGCACATATTTTAATAGGTAAATTTTGTAAAGGCACTACTACATGACTTCAGCTTTTTCTTATACTATAATTTAGGGGTTTTTTTTTCTTTGCAGAGAGTAAAGTTATTATTCACTCTCCAAGAAAGGAGAGGGGGTGGTGTGGAGAGAGATACCACCAGTGAAGGGTGGGTGCTTTGAGCTTTTATTGGATATAATTGGATTAAAAAGGGGTGTGCTATCGTGAGGCCCCTGGGCTGTTGGGAGCGGTTTAACTGGAGGCTACAGTTTGTTCCAATGTTATCTTCTGCCTGGGGCTGTGGAGAGTTCAGTTCTTCCAGTAATTTCCAGTCCTGGAATGACTGCTGTGAACCCCGTGACAAAGCTAGATGCCAGGCCTAGTGGTTCTAATTGGCTTTGAAAGTCAATCTTAATTCCTTAAGGCTTTCTGGTGACATCCAGAGTCCAGGGCTGAGGACTGAGTCCAAGCATGACTTCATTAATAGCTGCCGAATTCTAGGTACCAGTCGCTGGCCTTGAAGATGGGTGAGGAGGAGGCTGTCGGCAGAGCCTGGAGAGATGGAGAAGCACGAGCATCCTCTGTCCCCACCTCACAGAGACAGGGCTGGGGTTAGCCCCGGCCGAGTTTCTGCCGCCCGCTGCTCCCCTGGTCGCAAGTCTGAGGAGGCCAGAGGAGAGGGAGGAATAGAGAATGTCCCTACATGGGCTACCAAAATGTTAAGGGTGGTCAGGGACGGGGGCTGCGAAAGAATTCACAAAGAGAGAAAAGTGTAGAGGATAAAGTTTCTATTCACTGTCTAGGAACGGAGAGGGGCATGGTGCAAAGAGATACACCAGCCTATTATCATTTAGCATTATGTCAGCAGTATAGGAAGAACAACTTGACTTGTAAATTCATAGCCTTGGAGTTAAATTGCACTGACTTTAGCTTTTAATTTACACTTGTTTTTCTTTTTGAGGTTCATCTGAATTATGGAAACCCTTGTTTGAAGTAAATGCAGGCTGCATTTTTAGAAATTGAAGGCTGAGGATTTGTTCGTTCCAGCTGTCTAGTCCAGTGCAGATGGTTTTTAGTTGTATTCAGGCACAAAGAAATGTACACATTGCTTTTTTATGTTCAGTAACATTCTTTGCCATGCTTTCTTCCTTTTCAGTTGTATGTTTGTTCTCTTATGAGTAGTAAAATTATACTGTGTGTATTGAAGTGGAGCTTCCCTCATTTCTTTAGGGCTGCACAGCTAAAAGGCAGGGACATTAAAGACCAAGGCAAGCATTTGGAAATGCTGCAGTTTGATGTGAACGGTAGCCACCCAGCAAATACTGAATGTCTGTGTATCACGAGAGCCTGTGGTGGGTTCTGGTGGTATGAGACAAGTAGCAGGACAGATGTGGTACCTGTCCTCTCTCATGGAGCACGTCCTGCAGCTGGAGCGTAATAGATAATTTCAGGTTATAGGGAGGAACGGGGTGCTCTGGGAGTGCACGTGGGGTGGCGGGATCGTGTGGGGAGTGTGCGTGTGTGTGAGCAGTTTTCCCAGGAGAAAATGTGCCGAATTAGAAGGCCTTCCAAAACCCTTAAAGAAGGGCAGTATGGCTGGAGTGGAGGAATCAAGGTGGGGAGATTTTGGAAGACAGCAGCCAAAAACCTCTTTTAGAGAGTTTTTTTTTCCCCAATCCTCACCCAAGGATGTGCTTATTGATTTTAGAGAGTGAGGGAGGGCGAGAGAGCAAGAAACATCAGTGTGAGAGAGAAGCAGCAAGTGGCCGCCTCCTGCAGGTGCGACCGGGGTGGAACCCACACCCGGGAACTTGCGCCCTGACGGGGAATCAAACCCGCAGTCCTTTGGTGTATAGCACGACGCCCCAGCCAGCTGTGCCACCTGGCCGGGGCAGTTTTTCGGAGAGCTTTTCAAGGCCGGCGGAGGATTTTGGACTCCCCACGGCAGTGGAAACCGGGGAGACTGGAGGAGGGAGAGAGCTTTGCATCATCCTGAGACTTTCCTTCTTAAAAAGGAAAGGGCTGTCATCCAGTTTGCATAGAACTTCTTCCTCCCCTCCCCCACTTCCCCCGTACAAGATTAGTTCAGAGGCTCCCGGAAATCTGAATGAATTAGAATGGTTCCAACAGGAGTAGAGAAAAATGGCTGGTTTGAGATACACTTAGGAGGTGGAATTGAAGATTTGGTTGTAGCTTAGATATTGGTAAGGGAGAGGAGTGAGTCAGGATACTAACCGTGAGTGAGTTCCAGGCACTGTTACAGGTATTAAATCTTTAGATTCTCACAATAGTTTCACGAGGTAGGTATTGCCGTCAGAGTGTTATAGGTAAGGAAGCAGATGCTTTGCCTCCCTGGTTTCTGCCTTGAGGTGTTGGGTCTATGGTGGCATCTCGTAACTGAGATAGAGACCTGGGTCGGTGGGGGGGGGCTCCTCAGCTTAATTTCAAATTTGAGGTGTCTTTAAGATACCCACGTTGCAGTGTGAAGTGGGTTTTTGGAAGTAAGGAGTTGGGGTTCGAGAGAGAGAAATCTGGGTTAGAGAGAGATCTGAGAACCTTCTGCAGATGCTTCATCCTGGGAAGCGGTTACTGAAAGGGCGAGAGTGTGGGGCAAGAGGAGAGGAATTAGTATAAAGCCCCAAGGCATCGGAAGGCAACATTGCTGGGAAGGGAGAAGATCAATGTGTAATGGCCTGTATGCGATGTCAGATGTTTGCACTTTATTCTGAAAGTATCCGCTTTGGACGTGGTCTTCAGACGAATCCAGCCTGAGGTGATTGTGGGACAGAAAGGTGGTCTGCCTTTCCCCCTTTTCTTTCTTTTTTAGAAAAGATTTTACTTATTTATTTTTAGAAAGAGGGAAAGGGAGGGAAAAAGAGAAGGAGAGAAACATCAATGTGTGATTGCCTCTCGCATGCCCCCCACCCCCGCACTGGGGACCTAACCTGCAACCCAGGTATCTGCCCGGACTGGGGATCCAACCAGTGACCCTTTCTTTTGCCGGCCGGTACTCAATCCACTGAGCCACGCCAGCCATGGCTCCTCTTATTTTTCTAAGAATAACATCCTGTGTTTCTTCAGAAGATTTTGTCCAGGCTTTGTGTCATCCTGATTGCCTTCTTCTGGTCAGTTTACCAGTGGTCCTTTCACAGTGTAGTGGGCAAAACTAGACGCTGTTTTATGCATGGTCTGAGCAGAATGGATAGCCTTCACATTATCCACCACGTTCTGGCCACTGTTTCTATGAATACTGTGTAAGATCTAATTAGCCTTTGACACGAGGGGAACATTGCAGCATAATGTTTCTCTTACCAGCCGAAGGTGGTTTTCATATATTTTAGTGCTAAACCTCGTCTCTCATCCTGGTGCTTTGTGCTAGTGGTAGTTTGGCTCTAAGTCGGAGTCTGTATTTGTGTTAAATTTAATCTGCTGGATTTGCCTTATGATTGCTACCCTACAGTGATCTTTCTGGACCTGTTGTTTAGTAGTATTGAGTATCCTGCCCAAATTCAGGTTACCTGTGAATTTTAGAAGTATGCCATCTATGTCCAAATTTAAATAATTGTGTAGACAGTTAATCGGGGCAGGAGTGAAGACGGAGCTGTGAAGTGAGTTCTGTGGCCACAGAGCCTGGGTTTGAATTACAGTGCCACCTGCCACTTAATAGCTGTGTTGTTTCGGGCAAACTACTTTAACCACTCTGTCCCTTAGTTTCCTCATCTGTGCAATGGAAATAACGATAGTTTCTGTTTCAGAGGGTTGTGGTGAGGATTAAGTGAGTAACGTATGTGAAGAGCTTAGACTACTAGGCAGTGAGTGATCAATCATCTGAACTATTATTGTGTTGTTTTTTATAAACCATCATAGATGTTTCTACTCCTTGAACCGTATGTCCTATTGTTGCTGAGTTTCAAAGAGCAATTGGGGATATGTAATTAGACCATAAAGTTTATCCCTCTGTAACAGGAAACATATTTTGGAAAATGCATAACATGAAACCCAGCCAGATGTGTGTACTCGTGCTGCTTCTAAACTAAAAGTTGTCTTGGGCCCTAACTGAGGGGTTGTTTAAAGCCGAGGGTCTGAATCTTCCTCTCTCCCCTGCAGGTATGGCATCACAGCTGCAGGTGTTCTCCCCCCCATCAGTGTCGTCCAGTGCCTTCTGCAGTGCGAAGAAACTGAAAATAGAGCCCTCCGGCTGGGATGTTTCTGGACAGAGCAGCAACGACAAATATTATACCCACAGCAAAACCCTCCCAGCCGCACAAGGGCAAGCCAACTCCTCTCACCAGGTAGCAAATTTCAGCATCCCTGCTTATGACCAGGGCCTCCTCCTCCCAGCCCCTGCCGTGGAGCACATTGTGGTGACGGCGGCTGACAGCTCTGCCAGCGCCGCTACCTCGACCTTCCAGAGCAGCCAGACCCTGACTCACAGGAGCAACGTTTCTTTGCTTGAGCCATATCAAAAATGTGGACTGAAAAGAAAAAGTGAGGAAGTGGACAGCAACGGTAGCGTGCAGATCATAGAAGAACATCCCCCTCTCATGCTGCAAAACAGGACTGTGGTGGGTGCTGCTGCCACGACCACCACTGTGACCACGAAGAGTAGCAGTTCCAGTGGAGAAGGGGATTACCAGCTGGTCCAGCACGAGATCCTTTGCTCTATGACCAACAGCTACGAAGTCTTGGAGTTCCTGGGCCGGGGGACATTCGGGCAGGTGGCTAAGTGCTGGAAGCGGAGCACCAAGGAAATCGTGGCTATTAAAATCCTGAAGAACCACCCCTCCTATGCCAGACAAGGACAGATTGAAGTGAGCATCCTTTCCCGCCTAAGCAGCGAAAATGCTGATGAGTATAATTTTGTGCGTTCTTACGAGTGCTTTCAGCATAAGAATCACACCTGCCTCGTGTTCGAGATGCTGGAGCAGAACTTATATGATTTTCTAAAGCAGAACAAGTTCAGCCCACTGCCACTCAAGTACATCAGACCGATCTTGCAGCAGGTGGCCACAGCCCTGATGAAGCTCAAGAGCCTTGGTCTGATTCATGCCGACCTTAAGCCAGAAAACATCATGCTGGTCGATCCAGTGCGCCAACCCTACCGAGTGAAGGTCATTGACTTTGGTTCTGCTAGTCACGTTTCCAAGGCTGTGTGCTCAACCTACTTACAGTCACGTTACTACAGGCAAGTGGCAAATGCTAAAAAGCTAATCTTAGACTCAAGCTCTCTCTTTATGTTTAATGTATGTTTACATAGGGATACATATAACAATGAATTTATTTGCAGATTCCAAGATAGAAATAGGGAAATAATTTAGTTCAAGTGTGTGGCATTCCTATAAATAGTAGTATTTTATAACTGAAATCTTATTTAACAATGGAAAAGTTAATTCAGTCTGATTCTTAAGGTTGTTCCTAGTTGAATTATGTAGCTGACCTTTGAACAACAGGGCAGTTAGGGCAAACCTGCATATAACTTATAACTCCCCCAAAACTTAAGTTGGTTTTCAGTATCTGCAGGAGATTAGTTCCAGGACCCCTGCTGATACCAAAATTCGCAGATGCTCGAGGCCGTTTTATAAAATGGTATAACGTAGATCAATGGGTACAGTTGGCCCTCCATGCTACGGGACTCCCAGTGTCAGATTGAAAACAGTACAGGTATTTATTGAAAAAAAAAAAGTCTGTACATAAGTGGGCCCTTGCAGTTCAAACCCTAGTTCAAGTGCCAACTGTACTAGCATCTGGTTTTCTTTAGTATCATTATACCTAATTTTCCCATTTAAAAGACTTTAAACATGTAAAGATGTTTACTTATTTGTAATGAATTTGGGCATGTGCTGCTATTTTTTCTTTTTCTTTTTTATGCAGATACTTTTTCTAGGTTCCTATCCTGGCAGGTGAGGTGCCTTGGGAATAATTCCAGGTTTAACTGCAGCAGCATTTTATTCTTTCACATTTTCTGTCTTGCCTAATAAAGGGAATTGGGTTGGATGATTGCTAAGGTCTCCTCCCATTTTATCTTTCTCTCTAATACTTTGATAACTGACTTGGTTGCCCTCCAATGGTCTTCACTCAGGTGAAGTGCTGGTGTTCACACGGGTGGGCAGAAGCAGGTTTGCAGTTGTGAGTGTGCAAAACGTAGTTTATCCTGGTATGTTATTTATTACCGATTGTATCAGGTTGGCCAAAAAGTCCGTTACATGTTTTCTGTATGGTGGCTGTGGCTATAGTAGTGCTTAGTTGTCTTTAACTTCATTCGAAACACTTTTGTTAGATTGTATTGTAACAGCTGTCATATCAGCATGCATTTTTAAAAAACTTACCAAAATTGGTGAATTTTTACACATCCATTTTAATATGGAAGATGAAAGAAGACACAGAACATTTTTGGCATGTTATGTTTTAGGTAAAAACGCAACTGAAATGCTAAAAAAAATTTAGTGTTTGGAGAAGGTACTGTGACTGATCAAAAGTGGCCTGCGAAGTTTCTTGGTACTGTTGCCATTTTGGCCACCTATCTCTTTGCTGTGGGGCTGTCTTATGCAATGGAAGGTGTTTGTTTAGCAGCGCCCCTGGCCTCTACCCACTAGGAACCAGTAGCAGGAGATAGCAGACATACTCAAAATATCCAAATCAATAAAGTTATTGGTGAAAATGAAAAATGTGTCTTTTACTGAAAAACCTAAATGGACTTATTGGCCAGCCCAAAATTATTTTCCATACAAACAACTCTTGTCTGCCCACCCCTGTACAGTTCTGTCTGTACTATAATCAAGGACTATTAGTGAAAGAAGAGGGGAAAGTCTTTTTTTTTAATTCATTGAATTTTTTTTTTAGAGAGAGGAAGGGAGAGGGAGAGAGAGAAACAGAGTAAGAGAAACATCAGTTTGTTGTTCCACTTACTGATGCATTCATTGCTTGCTTCTTGTATGTGTCCTGACTGCAGATCGAACCCACAACCTTGGCGTATCAGGATGAGGCTCTAACCAACTGAGCTACCCAGCCAGGGAGAGGGGAAAGCCTTTTAAAAATGAACTTTTATTTCTTAGTACATTTATTTATCTAAATATAATTGTAGTAAAACTTACCTCACACGAAGTTTACATTTTAATGATTTATTTTAAGAGTACCATTTCATTGTCATTAAATACATTCACAATGTTGTGTAACCATCACCACTATTTCCAAAATTTTTTCAGAACCCAAAACAAAAACTCTGTAACCATGGAGTAGTAACTCCACCTTTCCCACACTCATGTTAACTTCTATTTGACTGTCGCTGTGAATTTGCCTAGTCTAGATATTGCATGTAAGTGAAATCGTACATTTGTCCCATTGTACCCGGCTTCTCTTACTGTAAATCCATACTGTAACATGTATCAGAATCTCATTCCTTTCCACGACTGAATAATATGCCATTGCACATACATACCACATTTGTTTATCCATTCATTTGTTGATGGACACTGGATTGTTTTCAATTTTTTGGCTCTTCTGAGTAAGGCTGCAATAGCATTGGTATTCAATTGCTTAAGTCTCTGTTTTCAGCTCTTTTGGGTATATAGTTGGAAGTGGAATGGTTGAGTCACATGGTGATCCTGTGTTCACAGTTTTGAGGAACCACCTGTTTTCCACAGCTGCTGCGCTGGTTTACACTCCCATCTTCAGTGCATGAGGATTCTAGTTTCTCCATATCCTTACCGGCACTCGTGATTTTCTGTTTTGTTTCTTTTTAATTGTAGTCATCCTTACGTATATGAAATGGTACCTCATTGTGGTTTCGATTTGCATTTCCCAAATGATTAGTGATGTTGAATGTCTTTTCACATGTTTATTGCCCCACCATCTGTTTATCTTCTTTGGAGAAATGCCCACTCAGGTCCTTTTTCCATTTTTTAATTGTTTTTGTTGTTGTTGTTGTAGGAGTTCTTTGTGTATGCTGGCTATTAATCCCTTATCAGATACATGATTTGCAGAGTTTTTCTCCCATCCATGGGGATGACTTTTCATTGTTTTTTCCACAAACTTTTAAAGCTGTGATGAAGTCTAATTTGTCAGTTTTTTCTTTTGTTGTTTGTGCTTTAGTATCACATCAAGAAATCATTTCTAAACCAGTGTTATGAAGCTTTTCCCCTGTGTTTTCTTCTAAGAGTTTTATAGTTTTAGCTTTTATATTTAGGTCTTTCATCCATTTTGAGTTAATTTTTGTGCATTGTGTAAAGTAAGAGTCCAGTTTTATTCTTTTGTGTGTGGATATTCTGTTTTCCCGGCACCATTTGCTGAAAAGACTGTCCTTTCTGCACTGAATGGTCTTGGCACTCGTCAAAACTCTTTAACCATACGTGTGAGGGTTTATTTCTGGGCTGTCTGTTCTACTCCATTGGCCTGTATGTCTGCCTTTATGCCCTTGCCACACTGTTTTGGTCACTTGTAGCTTTGTAGTAGGTTTTGAAGTCGGGAAGTAGGAGACCTCCAGCTTTATTCTCTTTCAAGGTTGTTTGGCGGTCTCAAGGAGTCCCTTGAGGTCCACATGAGTTTTAGGATGGGTTTTTCTATTTCTACAAAAAACTTCATTGATTTTTGATAGGGATCACACAGAATCTGTGAATCACCTTGGTTAATATTGACATCGGAACAACATTGTCTTCCAGTCTGCTCTCTGCTATTTTTATTTTCGTTTTATAGATTTATAAAGCTGTGCTGTGTATTCCTTGAGTGAGACTGAGAGAAGAAATTCCTAGAGCCTTTGGTTTCTGATTTCATGTTGTGTTGGACAACTTGGCTAATGTTGAGAATCTCCCCTCCATTTATTTATTCATGACTTGGGAGACTTAGGTCCCAGTTTGCTTCTAATCTTCTCCCTTGAGCAGTCCCACTGCCACCCACACACGCGCATGCACACACAGGCACACACACAGCACGTGTACAGGTGCACAGAAGCGTGCAGTGCAGCATGTCATCCTGAGCATTGGGGAGGAAGAGGTGCCGCACAGCTCAGGGATGGGGGCCGATCAGCTGTTGCCTTTTCGATCTCTTATCTGGTCGTGTCTGCAGGTGTTCTTGAACCGTTGGTCTGCTCTCTCACAAACAAAGTGCATTCTCTTATGGTAACTGATACGATTTTAAGATTGAAAAAGAGAATTGTGAGAATAAGTCTACCAAGACATAATCTGCTTGGGGAGGAAAGGTGGCCGATCTCTCAAAGGAGAAGGGCCAAGAACTGTTTCCTCAATGGGCTTTTATTGGGTTCGTTTGCACAAGAATACAGGTAAAGCTCATTAATCATTGTCAGGGAGTAAGGATCAGATAATAGATAACAACTCTGAGAGCCTATTTTGAGTCAGGGTCAGATAGCTAAAGAGCTATAAAACTGTGAGGAACAAACTCACTTCTTGCTTGGATCCTTATCATTTAATTGAGAACATTCTAAACAAAGCAGGTTTCACAGGATTTTACATTTTCTTAGGCCTGATTGCCCTAGGGAACCTGCCTTTTCCAGCACAGGGCTGCACCACCCTCTGTCATTGTTTCAGGCTTAAGTCAGGCAGGGGAAGTAAGGCAGCCAAGAGATTAGGAGACTTCTCTCAGACAGAATGAGGACTCAGGCTTTGTCAAAGTGGAGGGGTGATGGTCCATTACCCCTTTTTGCTGTAGCCCCCCAAGTCCTTCCTTGGGGGTCTCCCATGTGATCATCCCTGTCTTAGGTTGTTCCCCCCTTTGGGGAATCTTACCCGTCATTGGCTAACCAACCAAGCATTGGGGGCCAGTTACGGATGAAGTAAAAGGAGCAGGAGTGGGCGCTCCTGCCAGGGAGATAAGCTTCATCTCTTTAATGGCTTATGGCTTATGGTCTTAAGGTTGCTCCCTCAGCCTTAGCTTTGGAGGGGTTACAGCTTCTGAAACCAGGCAGGGCAGTTCCCAACAGCAGATCTAAGATTATTTATGAAATAATTGTTGATGGAATTTTCTCTTAAAAGGGAAAAGGAAATTTGAGGAATGAAATGTTCTGGCTACTTGGCTTTTGCTGGTATGAAATTTGAATAATTTTCCGTTGCTGGCCTTTGCCTCTTTTAAATTTAATTTAAGCTGTCATTTGAGTAATTTGGTTCTGTTTTGTTTTTATAGAAAATATGTTTTTCAAAATTAAAAAATATTGTTGACATTCATTTATTTTTAGAGAGGGGGGAGTGGAAGGAGAAAAAGAGGGAGAGAAACATCAGTGTGAGAGAGAAACATTGAATGATTGCCTCTTGCATGTGCCTCAACCGGGGACTGAACCTGCAACCCAGGCATGTGCCCTGACCGGAATTGATCTGGCAACCTCGTGCTTGGCGGGACAAAGCCCAACCAATGAGCCACACTGGTCAGAGCCAATTTTCAAAATTTTAAATCCACTGGCAATTGTTCTCCAACAAAGTCCTGTAAATCCATTGCATTTAGTTGTCGACTGTATGAGAAATTTTAAATGGAGCACAGTTTGCCCCTTAGAAACAGTTCATTCTGTGCATTACTGCGTAATGACTGTGCATTCTGAGGTTCGCTATCCAGGGTTTGACTCTGTTCAGGATGGAACGTGAATGCTCTGGAGCGGCACAGTAATACTCGATACTGAGCCTAAGGCCACTGGAATAGCAGCTCAGGCACTCCTTCTCCGTCGTTAGTTTTACCCTCGGTGTCCTCACGTTGCTTTGTTGCCTTATCAGAGTCCATGAAGTCCTCACTGTCTTGCCTGTCAGAAAACCTCTGAATTCCCTTTGACTAGTGAAGCATTCTGGCCCCAAGACTGCCTTCCTCTCACCCTCCTTTTTAGTTGACATTGTTGCATCTTGCTGATAACATGCCCAAATATTACCATTTGACATACATTTTGCCACTGTGTTGTCTCCGTTGGCCGTGGGCATGGCTAAATGATTCAGGCAGTGGAAATAACACACTATTTCCTGGTCCACTGTAAATGTAAACGTAGACTAATTCCATGAAAAGGTACTGTCTTTGGGGTTTGAGTTTTAGGCGCAAAGGTTTCCAAGCTTAGAAGCTTAGTGCTTTAACATCCTGAACGAACTAACTGGCGGTCATTTAAAGCTGAGATCACTTTGCTCGCTCAGTATGGAAGGACAAGGTCTAGAGAAGAAAAGCATATTTTCACTTTATCCTAGATTAACAGACAGTCCAGTTTCTTCTGACAGTGAAACTACGGTTTCATCTAAGCCACGGGTGTCGGAAGTGTGACTTTATGCAGCGTCTCTGGTCTAGTCGGTTTGGTGCCTCTGCGCCAGGCAGGAAGAAGCAGGGGTGTTCAGGGAGAGTGTGGAGAAGGACTGCTGTTGGGTGACTCTGCCCTCCGCTTGCTCTGGGTTCCAGTGAAGTAAAGCTTTATGCCCTTAGAGGAATTCTTCAATTTAAAGAAGTTTGAGGTTGGGAAATCAAAAAGCAGGGATTGCTGTTTCTACCACCTGGTTATAGTAATTAGACCCCGTCTGATTCTTTAAGGGTGTTCTTTAAGGGTGGGGTGTATGTTCAAAGGGGAGACCACCGTGTCCAAAGTAGAATTAACGCCATCTTTCTACTCAAGGGAACACTGCCAGTCCCCCCACCCCCTCTTATGCTTTAATAAGTAATTTCTTTACTCCCAGCCATTAGAATGTCAGAGTTGGAAAGGGACCTGCAAGAGTAATTATCTAACTCAGGCTCCGTATTTTACAGATGACGAAGAACCAGAATACAGTGTCTAGAGTTTATATTAAGGGATTGAGAAATAATGGAGGTCAAGGGGAAGGACGATATAGTAATGAGAATATTACCAAGAATTATAATCTGAACTCAGAGTTTAAAACATTCATTCTAGAGATGAATATGCTCTAACTAAATGATTCCTTTCTGGTCAGTAAAAGGAAATACCTCAGTCTGTTTGCTTCCAAGAGCTTAGGTAAGTCTAACATTTCTAGGCTGAAAAGATAGTGAAAATCCCTCAACACACTGAACAGCCTTATTTTCATTTTATTTTACTTTGATTGCTCTCATAGTTTTCTTCCCTTTTGATACCTTTCTGCGTGGTTGATGTTACTGTTTTGAGGGAGCTTTGGCCGGAAATCCTTAGTGGCTCTTACTACTCCAGAAGCAGGGTGAGGCCAAATGGAAAAACTGATTCCAGGCAGTCTTCAGGGGTTTTTGTCGAATAGGGCTTGGGGCTGGAATTAGTGTGTTTCCGAGTTTCTCTGAGACTTCAAGTTTATCACATACTATTACTACCTTTTTAAAGAAGTAAGTTACCGGTTCCGGGCCCCTCCCTGTGACCTACCTTTTGGGTTTAAAATGTCTTCCTGGTGGAGTGGGAATGGCAGAATCAGTCACGCTCTTCAATTGATGCTCAGGAATGTTCCAAGCCCAGTTTTCACTTTGGCACAAAGCCATTTGCATTTTCCCTGCCAGCTATTTTTGGCACTGTCATGAACTTCGAAATTAATGGTTCTGCTCACTGAAAGTAAAAATTTTGTTCCATTTAAATTTTAGAAAAGCTTTTATGTTTCTGGGCCCTCTTACCCTCTCGCTTATGAATGCTATCAAACTTGTGCTGTCCTAAAAACATGCCGTAGCGGTTGGGATTTAATTGAACTTTGAAATCCCATCAGTGATGTAGCTCCAGCCACCTGCAAGGGGCCTGTCCCTTTCGATGGCTGTTCCTTGGGCCAGCAGAGCCACCGTTCGCATCAGAGAGGACAAAACCTGCCCACTGAGCGGTTCCTCCCGCAGCCGTCCCCTGGTGTCAGTCCCGACAGGCCTGGGTTCTTGCTGTGTCTCTGCCCTGTGGAGTCCTCTCGTTTACCCTGTTTTCACAGAAGTTTACTTGGGGAGGATACTCTTGTTCAGGGAACGGAACTGCCTTTATACTCTCCCCCACTCGATCTTTGCCCCTTGTCCCTCCTGGGGCCTCCTGAGGAGACAGAGTCCGTTGGATGGTTCTTAATGGTGAGATCTGCTTTTCCATTTATCTCCTGTTAAATGAGGGACCTGGGTCTGGTGTCCTTACAGATTCAAGTCTGATGACTTGTGAGAAGGAAAGGAAGTTATTTGGAGAAGTTGCTAAAGTGTCCAAGAGCCTGCCTGGGTTCCATCATGTACTAATTGTGTGGCCTTGGGCAACATACTTAACCTCTCCGTGCCCAGTTTCTTCATCCGTAAAATGCAGATGATACTTGATGACATAGAATCTGACATACCATTGATTGGAAGGGGCAACATTAATTGTGTGCCAGTGAGAAAGTAAGAGCACTGCTATGAAACTAAAATATACTATCATTTGCGAGGATCTTCTTCATTTCAGAGATGTTAAAATGTATAAAACCGTGCATCTGAGAATTACTGGTAATGACTTCTCAGTAAGATTGTTGTCAGGATTGCATGACTCCACATTTGATAGTGCACGGCACACAGCGCTGTGTGTCGGCTGTTAGTGTTATTGATAATAGTGTTGCCTGTTGTTATCATCCCCTTTCTGAATCATTTCTGTCTTAAATTTAGTCACACTTTGAAAAACGCCATGTATCGTATAGCACCATGCCAAATAGATTTTTATAGATGGGTGTATACCTCACTTATTTAGAGACAGTGGAATATACTCAACTCCAAAGCTAGACTGCCAGGATTCAAATTCTAGTTCTGCCACTTACTATGTGATTTTGGGCAAGTTACTTAGTATATTTGCCTCAGTTTCCTCCTCTGTAAGTGAGGATAACAATTTTGTCTTGGATGTGTTCATATATATAAAGCTTTAAGTTTATGACATTAGTTTTCTTTTTAAGCATTAATGGAAGCGAATATTTCTAAAAGCATACAGAGAACTCAAAATTTTAAAATAATGCTAATATAATATGATAATAATAGTTATTGTTATATCCAACCCTTATAGAGTACTCTGCATGTGCCAGGTACAAGAGCTCACTGTACAAGAGCTTTAATATTTACTGTTGTTATCAATTGCTTATTTGTGTGAGCTGTATAACACAGTGCACAGTAAAGTTAAGTAATTGCCTGCAGCCATTAAAGAGCGGAGCCAGGGTCTGTCCCCTGATAGGCAGGGCTCCAGAGTCCTGCCGCCGTGAGCCGCCCTGTCTCTGCAGAAGGCATTGCCGTCACAGAGAGGTGTTCATCGACCAAGCTGTTTAATTGTTTTTTCGTACTTAAAAAGGTGCTGGGGTAAACAGAATAACTGTGATTCCTTATTCATGATTTTAAAATTCAGAAAGCTCTAAACACTAAAAATCTTTGTCTTAGTTTGGTGTAAACTCGTATATTGGCAGGACCTGACTTGAACCCATGGACGGCTGTTGCAAGTCTTTATTTAGCTGATTAGTATGGCTGCTTATATGCCCTGTTGCAGGGATGTTCGCGTATTTGATTATGAGTGCTTTTCTAAACTCCTTTGGAATTACTATGAAATATGTAGTATATACATAATAGTATCTTTCTGAAATACAAAAAGTTCTGAATTTCAAAAACGCATCTGGCCCCAAGAGTTTCAAATGATGGATTGTATACCAAAGAACATTCTCAGTTTAGTTAAATCAGTGTATCTTTATTTGATACTAAAACAGGATTTAGTTAACATCCTTCATTTTCCCAAATAACGTGTATTTTTATAATCTTTTTTTTTTTTTTTTTTTTTTTTTGCTAGAGCCCCTGAAATCATCCTTGGACTACCGTTTTGTGAAGCTATTGATATGTGGTCATTGGGCTGTGTGATAGCTGAGCTGTTCCTGGGATGGCCTCTTTACCCTGGTGCTTCAGAGTATGACCAGGTAAGAGTGTTTATTACATGGAGGCAGAAGGAAGTATTTACTAGTGAAATAGAGTCTAGGAGAGATGAAGTACTAGTGAAGCATTTAGACAGTAGGGAAAGAGTCGTCCATTTAGAAAGAATTTTTTTAAGACTAGAAATTTCACTACCTGCTTTTTAGTCTGAAGTTATGTTTGCAATTCTACAATTAAAAAGGGATTTTATTTTAGATTAATTTAGATCGGCACTTTTCCCAATCTGTAATGATGTATTAGAGTAGTAACTTACGTGAACTAAGGCAAATTGTGAGTCGAAAGTAAAGTGAGGACAAGGAGTTGGGAGTTGAAGAGTACACGGGCTCATTCACACCCGTCACCTCCTTCATACATGCCACACAGTGAGGTCAGTGCTCTGCATGCTGCAGCACGCGAGGCCCGCAGGCGGAGGTGGACAGGGCGTCTCTGTGGAATTGGGTTTAGGAGGGGACGCATGGGCCTTGAAAAGTATTGCAGTGAATGACCTGTGTCTCAAACAGACCGGCTCTCCATGATATGCTACATTTCCTAAGGAGCTGGTCCTGAGGGGAAAAGTTTTGCCAAGGAAATAAATTGCGGATTCTCATTTTTTGTTCTTTAAAAAAAAAGGTGGTTTTTAGACCACTTAAGTAGGCTTTAAGCTTTTTGAGGGCAGTGACTGTTTCATTCCGTCAGTATATCATCAGCTGTTGACATTGTGTCTGGCACATAGATGCATGGGATTTGGGGGAGAGGATTCTTTTCTATTTTTTTCTTTTTTTCAGTTTGAAAGTCACAGACAATATCTTTCTATAAGTAGCTTAGGAGAATAATGAAGAACTCATTGGTAGTAGGAAGAAGCAAGAGACTTCTAGGTTCAGGCATTTGATGAAATACTCAGTTACTGTGCATTCCCATTGCTTTCCTGTGGCAGAGCGCACGGCAGAGACTTGGAACTCGCGTGCCTGCAGCCAGGTTACTCTTACGTTCCGTAACCAGGTTGCTCTCGGGGCTGTTCTCGCCACAGTAGTTGGCTGTGCCCCAGACAAACGCGGTGCTGGTCTGTTCCCACAAATCTTCATCCTGGTCTTCACTGCAAGGAGGGCACTGCCACGTGCTCTTGGCCAGGGGCTCTTGTCCAAGGTTTCTGGTCTGGTTGACAACATCTTGCTCTATCCAACTTCTGTCATCACAGCTTGAGTTACGAGGACTGATTTCAGTCCAAGGAACCTGATGGCGAGCATTGAAGGGACAAGGAGCCAGTTTGCAGCATCGGGATGATTCTCTTTGCATTTGATAAGATGACAAGGAAACCTGCAGGCCCTGATCTGGTGGTTCTTATTATGAAACAAAGGGTTTTCTGGAATTTCTAAAAGGACACAAGAGCAAAACAATTCTTTTCCCTATTCAGCCTAGAATTTTGACTGGTTGATCTATTTTAGGGTAGATGTCACATTTACCAACTTCTAAATACTTGACTCTGGGCATGTCTTTGAATGAAACAAAAAAATGAGTTGCCCATGTCATAAGTAACCAGTTACATTGTGCTTCGTAATTTTTTCATCTTGTCTTGTGAGCAGCAAGTCACCTTCCTTGTTTTATAACAATGGTGAAGAGCAGGAGGGGGATTAAATGATCCAAAGCCACAGCTGGTTGGACCAAGCTACTGATTATCCTTTTTGGGCCCTAGGCTCTTTTGAGAATTTGATGAAGCTATGGATCACCGCAGACACACACACACACACAAAGTTTTGTGTACAAATTTAGGGGATTCGTAGACTCCTGCTTAAGACACGGTGCTCTGAGCTATTACAGCTGCCGAAGTGCCATCCCTAGCCCAAACGTTCTGTGGCATTTCTTCGACCTTAGTGAACAGGTTGGTATCATAAAATTTCCCAGGAAGTGGAACCAAATAAAATTAGATTTAGAAGCGAAGGTACGGCTGGGGCTTTCCTTGTGAAGAAAGGATCTGATAATTTTGAGAATTTTTGTGTGGTGCATAAATGTGAAGCTGGGGGCGGCAGGAGGAAGCCGTTTCCCATGCTGAATAAGTAGGATGCTGCTGTCGCAGAGCAGGGTGGGGGGCAGTTGGTCGCGCATCTCTGGCTTTACAGAAGGCTCCTGTGGTAGCATCCTTACTCTTACAGATGCGTTTGTTTAAAAAACTTCCCTGAGATACAACTCACATACCATTTACCACAGCCATTGAAAGTGTAATGGACAGTTCAGTGGTTCTGGTGTGTTCACAGGGTTAGGAACCGTTACGACAGTTTTAGAACATTTTCATCACTGTCAGCGGTCACCCCTCATTCTCCCCCAGTCTCTGCCCTGGGCAGCTGCTGGGGGAGAACCCCCAAAACTTAAGCTCATCAATTTTAGTTTTGGCAGTTAATCGGAAGAACTGACATGTATGTAGCCTTGTCCAAATTTGTAAGAGCTTCATTTAGCAGGAAAAATGGGCCAGGAGGAACCCCACACCGCCTCCAGGGCAGGGTCCCTTTTTAAAGGGGGCTAATAGCAACACCATAGGATGTGGGTAGTCGTATGGACCACCGGAGAGAACAAGGCATTCCTAAGGTAAAGGATAACTGCAGGCACTTACTGCATTCCTGGGGCATGGCTCTCATCTCTGGGTGGCATTCTGGCTTTCTGGCTTTCTGGGTAGTCAGCCAAATATGAGGTTACAGAGAGTTCAACAGTCACAGAGAGTTCAACATTTCCCAGAGGCCCTTGCTGCGGGAGCCATATTGCATCTCTAAAGTGAGTTCATCTAGCAACTGCTAACCTACTTTCTATCTCTAGATATGACTATTCTATTCTAGTATATCATATTCATCACCAAATGTGGTCTCTCGTGTGGGCTTCTTTTACTTAGCATAATGTTTTTCGTCCATGCTGTAGCATGGATCAGAACTTCATTCCTTGTGGCCAAATGTACTCCTCTGTGTGTGTGTATTTTGGCTGTGTGAATAATGATGCTGTGAGCATTGGTGTGCAGTGTTTAAGCCCATTTTCAGTTTTTTTGCATACATACATAGTTAGAGGCAGAATTGCTGGGTTGTGTGATAAACTCACATCTAACTTTCTGAGGAGCCACCAAACTTTCCCACGGTGGTTACACCATTTACATTCCTATCAGCAATGTGCAGGAGTTCTAATTTCTTTTTTCTTTTTAACTAGAAGGACATCATCTATTCCTTCTAGTTTTAACTTATGAAAGTAATGCATGAAAAACATGGAACATGAGTTTGTGTGCTGTCCTTCCACAGGGCTGTGCTGGACCTGCCCTGCCCTTCCAGTTTCAGTGTGTGTGCTACCGCCGTGAACACGGGAGTTTGCTTTCTGAACCTCCTTGCTGCAAACGCCGGTCATTGTTTGTTTTTTAATAATAGTCATCCGTAGGAAGTGCTACCTCATTGTGGTTTTGATTTGCATTTTCTAATGATTAGTGATGTTGAACATCTTTTCGTGTATTTATTGGACATCTGTATATCTTCTTTGAACGAGTATCTATCCAAGTCCATTGTCCATTTTTGAATTGGGTTATTTGTAGTTGTTGTTGAGTTTTAGGAATTTTTTATGCATTCTGGGTATTATCCCCTTATCGTGATATATGATTTGCAAATTATTCATCCCATTCTCTGGGCTTGCCTTTTTACTCTGTTGCTCCTTTTACTCCTTTGGTGCACAGAAGTTTTTGATTTTGGTGAAGTCCAGTTGGTCTGTTTTTTGTTTCTTGTGCTTTCGGAGTCATCCAAGAAATGGTCACCAAATTTAATGTCTGAAGCTTTTCTCTGATGTTTTCTTCTAAGAGGTTTAGAGTTTTACAATTTGAGCTCTTACATTTAGGTCTTTGAGCCACTTTAAGTTAATTTTTGAACATGGCGTAAGTTAAAGGTCCAGTTTTATTCTCTCACATGTGGACATTCAGGTTTCCCAACACCATTTGCTAAAAGAGTATTCTTTTCCTGTGGAATTGCCTTGGTGTCCTTGTCAGAAAATCATTGACCATAAGTGTAATGGTTTATTTCTGGACTGTCGATTCTATCCCATCTATCCATATCCTATAGCCATATAGCAGAACACGCTGTTTTGGTACTGTAGCTTCACAGGCAGTTTTGAAATTAGGAAGTGTGAGTCCCCTAACTTTGTTCTTTTTCAAGATTGTTTTGGCTCTTCAGGGTTTCTTGAGATTTCATATGCATTTTAGAGTGGACTTTCTGTTTTTGCCAAAAAAGTCTTTTTTTTTTTTTTTAGTCAGGAATAAAAATGAATCCTGTAGATTGCTTTGGGAAGTATCCCCATCTTAACAATGTTGTTTTCTGATCTGTAAAATTTTTTTAGGTTTTATTTAAAGGTGCTTTGTAATTTTCAGAGTACCAGTTTTACACTTTTGTTAAATTTATTTCTAACTATTCAATTCTTTTTGATCCTATTATGAATGGAATTATTTTCTTAATTTCATTTTCAGGTTGTTCATTGCTAGTGTGTAGAAATACAGTGAGTTATGTAATTGATTTTATATTCTATGACCTTGTTGAACTTTTTCTCTTTTTTAAATTTTAATTGTTCAAATATAGTTTTGTGTCTTTTAGTCCCATCCCAGCTCACCCACCCAGCCCTCTCCACCTCCCTCCCATTTCTACCGCCCCCCCCCCCCACAGTTTTTGTCCATGTGTCCTTTATACTTGTTCCTGTAAACCCTCCCTCTTTTCTCCTGAAATTCCCTCCCCTCTCCCCTCTGGTCACTGAACTCTTTTTCTAATAGAACTCTAGTTCTAATTGTGTGTGTGTGTGTGTGTGTGTGTGTGTGTGTGTATTCCTTACGATTTTCTAACTATAGGATCATGTCGTCTACAAATAGAGATAGTTTTTCATCTTCTTTTCCATCCAGATTCCTTTTGTTCCTTGCCTGGTTGCCTTGCATTGAATCACTGCTATAGTGTTCATACCAATAACCAGAGTGGACACCCTAGTCTTGTTCTGATTCTAGGGGGAAGGCATTCAGTCTTTCATGAGTGAGAGTGCTGTCAGAGCAGGTGATCGTGAGTCTTGAAGTCAAATATGTATAACCTCTCTAGATACTAGGGGCTTCAGATTTGTTGGAAACATTAGAATTGTTTAAAATAACAAGTTCCAAATAATTCTTTGTTTGCGTAGGTGTGGAGCTTTTGTTGCTGCTTTATTTCAAGCTATATAAAAAGTAGTATCTGGATAATAGCATCCCATTCCACCTTCACAATGAAACTTTTTCATTTTATAACATTAAAATTTTTAAACATTTTAATTCCATAACTGCATCATCATAGAAAAATAAAGGTGAGGTAAGCCAAGAGACAAAAATTTGAACTACTGGTAGTTCTACCCCACAGAGGTAACCTGTTAGGGGTAGGTTATAGTTTGCATTTATTCATATATGCACATAATTTGTTAATTTTCATCATGTGTTTATTGAGTGCGAACTCTGGGTGAGGTGCTTGGGGCCCTGGGGGTGCGGTGCTGAATAAAGCACTGTCCCTGCCCATAGGCTCTGGTTTGGTATTGGAACGAGACATTACGTAGATAATCATATAAATAATTACATACTACAGTTATGATACCTTCTATGAAGAAAGAGATGTGGTTTGCTGCGTGTGCATGCATGTGTGTGTCTCATGTCCATTTATGTCCTAATGCCTCTTGAATATACTTATTTTTTTTTCCATGGCCACTCTCTCATCCAGGCTGTCTTCCTCCTGGACTAGATAATCTCCCTTTCTCCTCTCTGGTCTCCCTTCAGTTTTTTTTTTTTCAAGAGTGTTTTTTCTCCGAAACATAACTTTGATTGTGCCCCTCCCCTGCCCTTCAGTAGCCTCCCATGACTTTTAGGATAAAGGGCTAACTCCCTCTTATGACCTCTGAGCCCCTACCTCAGTTGTCCCACCCCTTCCTGTCTTTCTCTCTAGATCGGTCTCACACCATTTCTCCTTGTTTTTCATACGTTCGCCCTGTTGGCATCATTTCAGCACTGCTTCCTTCCAGCCCAGGCCCTTGCACACAGTGTTCCCGTGGTCGGAAGCTCCTCCACCAGCCGTTCATTTCATCTAGTCAGTGTCCACTCGTTTGTCAGCTCGAGCACCACTTCCTCGGGGAGCTTTTCCTCCTCAGTCCCCAGTCTAGGTCAGGTTTCTTTTTTATGTATTTTTCATGGAAGCCTATTTATTCTGATTTGAATTATGCATTCAGTGTCTGTCTCCCTCACTAGACTGCAGGGTGTATGAGAGCAGGAACCACGTCTATTTTTAAAATCACTGCCTGGTTCAATAAACACTTATTGGAAGAATGATTGAATATATGCTGTGTATAGGTACATCCCCAGTATAAATTTATGGATATAGAGAAACATATATACCGTATTTCCTCAAATCCACGACACCACTGGTTGAAAGATGTACCATTTTTCTGTACCTCTAAAGAAAAAATGCTGCCAATTAAACCATGACAGCTCTCTGTTAACTTGCAAGACAACTCCTGATTTGAGAGCTGTGAATTTGAAAAAATGTGCCTCTCAGAACCGGTGAAATGTAGTAATTTTTAAGAAATAATGTGAGATTATATCTAATATGTAATCTGCCTTTTTTATTGTATAGCATATTGCAAAAATATATCTTTACATGTTAATAAGTATACTTCTACCTTATCGTTTTAAGTGTCTGCGTAGTATTTTATTGTACCGATTTTATTCTGGATTTTAAAAAATAGTTTACTTTGTTTTGTATGCAAAAGAAGTCGCCTCCTGTATTGCTGTCAGTAGGGGGGGAGGGGGGGACAGATTGCCTCTTCTATTGCTTCTCCGGCTTGGGAGAAGCAACCAGAAGTGTGAACAGTTAAACTGGGAAATCCATAAAACAAACACAAGTACACATTTATTTCATTAGCCATCAGAGCAATGACATCATCACACATCGACTCTAGAAGTTTCTACTGTACACCCATGAGAAGAGAATACAAAGGCAAACAAACTCTTAGTATTATTATGAAAATAATTTTTATTTCACAGACCCCCCCTAATTAGATGGGGTCTCGGGTGGGACCCCAAGGGGTCTGCAGACTGCAGTTGAGAACTGCTGGCCTGGTTCGCAGTGGGTGCCCAGTGAGGGCCTGGACGGGTGAGCAGGCACTCGTCCTCGGCTTCTGGGGAGGCTCGGTTATGGGCTTGATTGTTTGGTGAGAGAGAGAATCTCTGTGACACTTTAGAGCAGGGGCAGCTGACCAGTGACTGGAGTAGCCAAGGAAGAAAGAGGTTTATAGAAATTGTTCCTAATCATTTTAATTTGATAATATATCAAAAAAAAGAAAACAAAAGATCTCATAGTAATTCATGAAAAAGAGTTTGTTTAAAACCATTCTGTTCTGTCATAGAAATGTCCAGAGTTTTCTGAATTTTGTATCAGAAGTCTACAAAAGCAAAAAAGATTATACACAAAATTCTCAAAACTAAGGTTTCCTTGCAAATCACAGATACAGTAAAAAGGAAGTTACTGAATAAATATTTGGGAATTTTTTGTGAGTGAGTTGTAGATAAATTTCAGTTGTGTTTATCAGTGAGTTAATTCACTGTGGTAGCTTTCTTTTTTAAAGCCTTGCGCTAATAATGTTTTAGTGTAAAAGTTTTTAATAATGACTCTTCATTCAAAAATCAATGTTCTGATGTTCCAGATTCGGTATATTTCACAAACACAAGGCCTGCCAGCTGAATACCTTCTCAGCGCCGGGACAAAAACAACCAGGTTTTTCAACAGAGACCCCAATTTGGGGTACCCCCTGTGGAGGCTTAAGGTCAGTCTCCCCTGCTCTACTACCCACACCTACACTTCTCACTCCCAACTTTGAACTCAAAGTCTATTCTTTTTTTTTTTTTTAAGATCATATCACCATTTTTTTTCTTGCCTGGTTATCCAAGTTTATTCTTGAGGTGGAGGAGGGAAAAGGGCTGGGGGGGATAATGTATGTTTGCCAGAGGGAACACTTTGAAAAATTATTTCATGTACCCACTTGGCCTTACTCTTAATTAAAAAACAGAACTGGAAAACCAGTTCGGTTGGCCAAGGCTATTTTGCATATTTGAATTAACAGCTGAGAAAGGGGTAGGGAGAGTAGTGCTGACCATTAAGTCATAAAAAATGAGACTCAAGCCCTGGCTGGCGTAGCTCAGTGGATTAAACACGGGCTTTGAACCAAAGCATCGCAGGTTTGATTCCCAGTCAGGGCACATGCCTGACCCCCAGCAACCGCACATTAATGTTTCTTTCTCTCTCTCTCTTTTCTCCCTCCCTCCCCTCTCTAAAAATAAATAAATAAAATCTTTTTAAAAATCTTAAAAAAAACAAACGAGACTCAGTTAGCAGTAATGACTATTTTTTGGAGCATTCTCAATAAATATGGCAAAGCAACATAATTTTCTAACTGCCCACATCAGGGCCTTGTATATTTTCTTAAAACAAGTATCTGCTTTTTGCTTCTGAGCCTACTCCTTTAACCCGAGAGATCCCTGAGTAATTTGGTTAACCCCGTGACCTGTCTTCCAGAGTCTTTGAATAGTTAGCATTTGAAGCATCTCATTTGCAAATAGCTTTAAGACAAAAATGGTAATGTCCCTTCTTATCTGACATTCTTCAGGGACTAAGCAGGTCATTGCCTTATCACTGTTGAAAGGGTGGCCACACACCAAGGTCGGGTCGCATCTGGTCCCTGGAAGATATTCTAGTTGTAAATAACTTTCATGTTTGTCTTCTCCTGTTGTCAAGGTGACAACACTTACACGTCTTTGTGTCTTGGCCTTTACTAGAATAAAATATGAATATCATACACAGGTGGAATTTTTTTAAAATCTGTGTTTTATAGACACCTGAAGAACATGAATTGGAGACTGGAATCAAATCAAAAGAAGCTCGAAAGTACATTTTTAATTGTTTAGATGACATGGCTCAGGTGAGTGTAGCAACTTTCAGAAAACCAGACATTTCTGTATTTCTTTATTCGTAGGTACGCTTCTGTCGGTTATATTAAAGACAGTCAGTCTGTTTTCTTGTATATGTTTTCATTTTTTACAGGAGAAGGTACATTGATATTCTGTCATGTATTAAAAGAACGTTTCAATCCTAGTGAAGGATGATACTTTTGTATATTTCTTCCTTGCTTTTCTTAGACTGGTCTTATTACATAACAGTATTTTGATATATTGCTTATGGCGGTTTCTTGTCCATTTTCTTTACTAAATAAATAAATACTTATGTAAGAGCTAACATTTGTTAAGTGCTTAAAACTGTTCAAACCCTTTATACGTACGTCATTTAACCTTTTTAACAGTAGAAAATTATATTAAAGTAATAGTCATTTTTGCTTAACTTGTTTGACTCAGATTTTGAATGAATGGGAATTTATTTACCTTTATTCTACCAACATACTCTACCAAAGTGGAGATTTTAATTAGCATAAGAGCTTCCACCTGTGAAAATGATTAGACTGTAATAAAAATAATGTCCTCAGTTTCTCTCTTGAGTACTATATACATAGTTTGGAGAGAATGCAGATACTTAGTGGCATCATTAAAGGTTAAGTAACGAAGTGCAAAATTTCTCAATTTTCCCTGGAAGGTGAATATGTCTACAGACTTAGAAGGAACAGACATGCTGGCCGAGAAGGCGGATCGGAGAGAATACATTGACCTCTTAAAAAAAATGCTAACGATCGATGCAGATAAGAGAGTCACGCCCCTGAAAACCCTTAACCACCAGTTTGTGGCCATGACTCACCTCCTGGACTTCCCACACAGCAATCAGTGAGTACGGTGCGGTCCGGGCGGCTGGCCGCGCTGCAGCTCTCAGCTGCGTTACCTGTATCTCACAGGTAAACGAAAATAGCCCATGAAAGCAGCTTTGGGACTTGCGTATTTGGCTCATTGATGCCTCTCTTTCTTATTGAAGAATGAAATAGATAATGTATGTTTTCTCTGTGGTTGTAAAAACTCTTGATTCATTTGATCGGAAAATACTCAGGGTGTGGCGGCGGGCGGGGGAGGGGTGTCGATCTGTGTTTGTCTTGAGTTATTTTCTGTTTAAATCCGAGCATTCATTTTCAATGACTCTTTAATTTTTTTTTTTCAGTGTTAAGTCTTGTTTCCAGAACATGGAGATCTGCAAGCGGAGGGTTCACATGTACGATACAGTGAGTCAGATCAAGAGTCCCTTCACGACGCACGTCGCTCCAAATACAAGCACAAATCTCACCATGAGCTTCAGCAACCAGCTTAACACCGTGCACAATCAGGTATGCTGTAATCAGGTATTCTGGACGCTCAGACTCGGGTGGGATAAAAGCTAATGAGAGTGCAGGGCGAGGTAAAGAAACCAGTCTTGGCTTTGGAGATCGGGTTGGTTGCTGAAGAATTTTCTGCTTGACAAAAGTGCTGCGGAACAAGGTAGGCTGATGATACCTACTGGTCATGTGCCGACGGAAATGAACTATAAAGGCCTACGCGGTACCCTCAGTCTTACCATTGTCAAATAAATGGACCGTGGCTGTTATACGACTTAACTGCTGTTAGTTGTACTGGCTTTAGCTAAATGACTCTGTTCGAAGGATTTTCTGTGTCTCAGTACGTGTATTGAAGGGTGTTTCCAATAACTGTTCTTATGTGCTGTGCATTAGACTCCCCGAACTTACTATTTAATGAGTGGAGGTTCGTGCCCTGTGACCACCTTTGCCCGTTCTCCCCTCCCTGCCTTGCTGTTCCCCCTTCCCCTGGCAACTGCCTGTCTGCTTTCTGTTTCTGTGAGTCGGGCAGGGTGTTTCCAATAATTAGGTTTAAGAGTAGTTTGGTATTTGTTTGCTAAACAGTTGATACCGTATTTTTCAGACCATAGGACGCACCTAGGTTTTAGAGGAGGAAAATAGGGAAAAAATTTTTTGAAGCAAAAAAATGTGGTGAAATATTTAATAACATAAATAGCATAATATTTCACCAATGTCAATGTAAACAGAACTCAACAGCAGCATTAATAACCATTATTCTTCCCAAGTTTGGTGGGGGGACTACATCTTATAGTCCAAAAAATACGGTACTTAACATTTCTGAAGCTATAAGCTTCCTGGTTTCTTAGCTAGTTCTATCGTTTAATTGAGATCTGGTGGGATTTCACATCCGGCACGTTTTTGCACAGGAGGAAGAGAGAGGGGTTTATATAGCCTCAGCCAGCACGGGATCATTTTTTCATTCTTGGTTTTCATATTCAACCTTACAATATGCCTTAAATTTAGAGACTGGGAAAATTTCTTAAGCAGAGACTAATTCCAAAGACAGCATTACATTTTAAAAACAATTTTTTCTGGATCGATTCTGTGTGTGTAAAAATATTATCTTGGTACCAGCATGTAACTATAATCTTGTTGTTTTTAGGCCAGTGTTTTAGCTTCCAGTTCCACTGCAGCAGCTGCTACTCTGTCTCTGGCCAACTCCGACGTCTCACTGCTGAACTACCAGTCGGCCCTGTACCCATCCTCGGCAGCGCCGGTTCCTGGGGTGGCGCAGCAGAGCGTCTCCCTGCAGCCCGGGACCACCCAGATCTGTACCCAGACCGATCCGTTCCAACAGACCTTCATTGTGTGTCCCCCTGCGTTTCAGAGTAAGTGGGGGAACTCCTGTCTCATGTGTATTTGAACCGATTTGCCTTATGCAGATCCTTACTAGTTTTGACCTTCCACAAGTTTAAACTCTGTCCCTGATTGTGAAGATAACTGAAATTAACAAGGTAGATTTACCCCTTTTTATTTTTATCTAATTATGACACTATCTGACACTTTTACAGGGGGAGTTCAGTTAATGTTTCCTTATTTGAACTGCGTGATTCCAGTTTTCTTGCCCATCGAGACCTTGTATCCGTGTCGTATATCTCCCGTTGGGTTGGCCAAAAAGTCCATTTAGTTTTTTGTTGGTTTTTTTTTTTTTTTTTTAGTAAGATGAAAGGCACATTTTTTATTTTCACCAATAACTTGATTGATTCAGATATTTGAGTCTGTCGGCTATCTCCTGCTATTGGCTTCTAGTGGGTGGAGGCCAGGGGTGTTGCTAAACATCTTCCAATGCATAAGACCAGCCTCACAGCAGAGAATTACTTGGGCAAAGTGTCAGTAGTGCCAAGGAACTTCACAAACCACTTTTGACACGTTTGATCAGTCACAGCACCTTCTCCATACACTGCACAAACCTTTTTTTGCGTTTCAGTTGCGTGTTTACCTTTCTGGAAATAATAAAGCATAGTACACCAAAAATGTTACGTATCTTCTTCCATCTTCAGTATTAAAATGGCTGCACAAAAATTCACCAATTTTGATAAGTTTTTTTTTAAATGCATGCTGATATGACATATGTCACAATACAATCCAAAAAAAATTGTTTGGAATGAAGTTAAAGAAAACCAAGTGCTACTAGAGCCATCTTACGGAAAAAACCCAGTGAATATTTTGGTCAACCCACTGTAAACGTGTCTCTCAAAATGCAGAATATATAACTTTGAAAAAATGTAAATGCAGTTGCTACATTTGGAATCTTATTTCCTCTATCATTTCATTAGAAAATAAAATTGCAGTGTTCCACATAAGTGGTAATTTCATTGTGAAGTATAGAAATCATGTTGAAGAATGTGGAAACCTCAAGTTACATTTAGAAATGAAGACGACTGTCTGTGGCGCTGGGAAATGCTACCAGCTGAGGTGCTTGTGTGAGGAAGGCGTTGAGACTTTCCGCCTCAGCTTGTGGCCCCTGTGGTTCCACGAGTCCCTGTCACAGAGGGACAGGGGAGCTGAGGGGGCTCTCAGCCCCTGTGCCGCAACGAGATTGTGGTTTCCACATTCCCGTCCTTCCTCATCTTCCCATTGGTCTATAATGCGGTCTGCTCACTTCCTCTTTTTTCTCTGAAAAAGGGGAAATGTGTGCTTATTGATCTGCCGAGCCGTTTGAAAGGTAAAGTTTTTTTGAGGTGGTTTTTCTGATGACACGCTTTTGACTTTCCATTAGAAAGTCAGTGTCAGTACCTTGTGGGAATAAACCAGGACTCGGGCTTCTCCTAGCACTTCCCGTACAAGCAGGTAGCACTTTTACCTGTCGCTGCAGTTCCTGACTGACCGTGACTCCTCTGTGTGTTTGGTTTCTGACAGAGCCGGAGCACGCAGAAGGCAAAGAGGGTCTGGGGGAGACTGAGAGAGTACCGGGAGGCCAGGAGAGCGATAGTGGTGTAAACCCGGGAGGAACTACAGGGAGAGTGGAGCAGATTCGAAACCTGTAAATGCACATTTAGCCTAACTTGCAAAACTATTTTCTGCGTGTTTCATAATAGTAAATTCTGCCCTCTGGGTTGTTCTGTGTTGAGTGATTCTTCTACTGAGTTTAGCAAATAGCCACACCCTTTTGCGAAATGAGTTTCCCTGGGACAGTTTTCAGATGTGGGGCCGCCAAGTTATTTGCTCCTTCTCAGGTGATATTTAAGAGTTGAGGCACAAGACCTTAGTTCTTTTAACAAAATAAAATGTAAATTGAAAGAGGTACAGGGCTAAAGTGGTATAGTCCCTTTCGGTCTAATAAGGTAAGTATGAGCTTTGGAAATTTCTTACTTAGGAAGTCTAAATCGCCTGGGGAGCTAAGTAGAGCACATCTTAAAATTCCAAAGTAAAAGGGAGTTTTTAAATTAAGCAAATGGTGATGAACAAAGTGGTGTGTATTACTATTGGGATGGCCAAAAAGCTCGTTTAGTTTTGTCTGTAAAGTAAAGGACACATTTTTCATTCTCACCACTAACTGTATTGATTTGGATATATTGAGTATGTCGGCTATCTCCCGTGTGGTATAACATGATTGTTCTTAGTTAATGTCTCGATCTGATTGCTATTAACTTCAACCGGTCTACCTGACTGTGGAGCATCGTCCAGCAAGCAATCTCCAGCATGAAACTTCACAAACCACTTTTGACACATTTGATCAGTCACAGCCCCATCTCCATACTCTGTACAGATCTTTTTTTTTTTTTTTGCGTTTTGTGTTTTTACCTTTCTGGAAATAATAAAGCATAATACACCAAAGATACTGCATATCTTCTTCCATCTTCATTATCGAAGTGGCTACACAGAAATTCAGCAATATTGATTTTTTAAAAATGCACACTGATATGACAACTGTCACAACAAAATCTTAACAAAATTTTTGAATGAAGTTAAAGACACAAAGTGCTACTACGGCCATCTTAACAGAAAAAAAAAAGAACTTTTTGGCCACCCTGGAATGTGCCAGCTCCTATTCTGAAAGGCTTCCCATGAGCTGATTTGTTCTCACAGACCTAGGAGGTGGGTACATGCCCAGCATCAGATGAGAAAGTTGGTCATGACCCCCTTCGTCTGCCCCGTTCTTTGTAACCAGTCAGTGGTAGAACCACAGTGGGAACCCGAGCAGTGAGGGTTGTAGCTTGTGTGCTAGGGAGTGTTATTCTGTACGACCTCTCAGTGTTTAAAACTCAAATAGCTGTAAAGGGTTGTCAGTTGATCTGCTAGCCACAGCCATATGCTGGTTTCTGCCCAACAGTTCTATTCCAGGTTGTCTACTTTGCTTTCACCATCTGCTCTTTCACAAAGTGCCTATACTTAGAGAAGAAACAGACCCTCAGAAATTACAGTTTTACTCTTTCCAAACTTCCATGGGGTTTTTTTTTTCAAAGGTTTTGTTCAACAAAAACAAAACAGGAAACAAAATTTTAATCCATCTTAGTTCAGAGGAGAGCCTTCCCAAAGTGTTGCCTTTTATTAATTTCTTTGTTTCCACTTGGGCTTCCCTGAAATCAGCTTGACTGCAATGCTTAGGGTCACATTTGTGGGTCAGTACTATAAATACTACTTTCTGTACAATTTAGGTGACCAAGATAGATACATATTTTGTTCAGTAGAAACTTACTCTGTATTTTGTCCCCTTTTACTTCTCATCCTGGGACACAAGGTGAGCTTCTGCAGCGAACATTTTTTCCTAAGTTTTGCCTCCTTACTTTCTACTAGTTTGTAGGAGGCTGTTACAATAACATTGTTTTGTATACAGTTGGTCATGTGTCCTAGGAATATAGACAAGAATTTTAATGTTGCTTAGCTTTCTTATTAGATAGCGTTGCCTTAGGAAGAATGACTGGTAATTGATTTTTATCTGTATTTGTTACTTTTTATCTTTATCTAAATCGCACTTTTAAAAAAAGTTATGAGTGTTTTAATTAGGATTTTGCTACCCTCCCTTACTTTGTACATTGTGTTTGTTTTCCTCTATGACAGTTTGTTACTAAATTACTTGTAAATTATTGAAATGAGAAATTGAAAGACCACTCACTGTGAACAGTATTAGAGTTTATTGAGTTGTGCTCATTTGCTACCTCTTTGGTAACATTGAGAGAAATTAGTTGGTGATAGCTTAAAAAGTATCACTGATGGGATATCTGGATAAAATGTTTTCATTCTTACTTAACTAAACAGATAGCATTAATGAATTAGAAACCTAACAGAAACTTAACTTCTCTATGGGGAAAGTTTTGATAGGGTAGGTTTAAAAAAAGCTCTGAAGGCCCTCTTCTTGGTTCTTGGCAGGGGGAAAACTATCTTGAGCCCCTCTTTTCCCCAGAATGAGATCTTCCTGTTTGTAGGAGACGTTTATTCAGCATTTCTGCCCAGAACACAGTGAATAAAAAAGACCAGTGAGACATGGCCACACGGTTTCAAAGGCAGCACCAAGGTCCTGACTTTCCAAGTTGTCCCAGCCCCTAAGGAGCCTTATTAGCAATCTGTCAGTGGCAAGAGCCAATTTCTAAAGAAAGTAGAAAAAAGTGTTTCTGTAAACCAACATGTCTACTTTTTAAACATGTTTATCCCAGGCATAATTTAGTTCACATACTGGTTCAAGACAAAAGTATTGGACTGATTTGCAGAGTGGGTGGTACTTTTTGAGGAGGGGGGTGTTTTACCCCTTAAAATATTCTAAACAAAAGGGTACTTTACTTGATAAATTATTGAGCCTTGCATAATGTTTTCTTACCTAATTTAACCCAAAGTTATAATTATATTTTGGCCTTTGCCTTTTAATAGATTACACTTAAAAAGCAATACCCTCCCCCCAGTGGATTAAAAGTTGGGTGTAATTTACTAAGTGAAGGTTTTTTCACTGTTTTTGCCTATACTATTTGTTAATAGTAAGGGTGTTGTAAGTTTTGTAGGATAAAAAATTTCAGAATTCCCTTAAATCCACCCTCCCTGTATCAGACATCTTCTCATTAATCCCACCTGAAAGGACTGTGTCTCCTTTTACTTTATTCTCAGACTTCTATGAAACTATTAAGTATCTAGAACTAAAGTCTAAACAGTGGATTATTTGAACAGAAAAGCTAACAACAACCCCCCCCCCCACAAACAAATAATACCCTGAGACCCAGCAGAGTGGTTTAACTGTGCTGCTGTTCTCTGCAGCTGGACTACAAGCAACAACAAAGCACTCTGGATTCCCTGTGAGGATGGATAACGCTGTGCCCATCGTCCCGCAGGCGCCGGCAGCTCAGCCACTGCAGATACAGTCGGGAGTTCTCACGCAGGTAAGAAAGCCAGGGCAGCCTGGACACTCCACGTGGCTGAAGCGCTGTTGAGAGTCCGATATTTCGTCCTAGAACAAGGTGTTTGCTTGGAGTGTGCGATCTTTCTTGGCCATGACTCAAAGGAGTCAGAGGGAAGCATCGCTAATGGAACGGTGTGCCCACCCCAGCTCCACCAGCGTCTTCCTTAGACTAGCCGGGATGAATAGCCAGACTCGGAGAAACTGTCTTTTGAGAAAATGTGCGCTTAATTTTGTGAGATGAAGTTAATTTTTATGTTGGTGCTTTCAGAGGTATGTTACACATGTAACAACCTTTTGATTCTGAAAATGAAAGGTTCCCCTTTGGCTCCCCGAGGGTCCCCTTTGGTCCCTCTTCCAGAACGTCATCCCAGTTGAGAGGTAGGACCACGTCGGGACGCTTCTTCAAGCATTGCGTCCCGTTACTCCTTGTGTTTCCCTGGCCCGTAGAAAGCTTTGAAGCTTTACACCTGCCATGGAACCTATGACTCTGAGGGTCAAGAAAATCATGAAGTGTCCATGCAAGCAGTAAATGCGATATTTTCCATTCTGTGTGTAAAAGTTTATGGCCCGTGACACATGGGAAATTCTGAAATCGCAGACCCCTAATTAGTGAGTAGGAGTTCTTGATACAGGCCTTCGTGGACTGAACCCTCAAGAACGGATCCTCTGAATCTGACCCAGGAAGGATTGCTCTGCCTTTTTGCTTTAGGCCATTGACACTAGACCTGTGGGCTAATGCTGTGCGGAGCGGAAGGGGGGAGTTGTGTTTGACACGCGCATTTGAGGTCGTAGGAAACTGCTGCTTGTTGGTGATAACTTGGGGGGAGCGAGAACCCTTCTGTACCCAGATAACCTGCCTTCGTATTTGTGTCACTCACCTGCCTCATCTACGTTTCAGGGAAGCTGTACACCATTAATGGTAGCAACTCTCCACCCTCAAGTAGCCACCATCACACCGCAGTACGCGGTGCCCTTTACTCTGAGCTGCGCCGCCGGCCGCCCGGCGCTGGTTGAACAGACTGCTGCCGTACTGGTAATTCCCCTCACTTGATTGTGTTACTAACGGAGTTTCTTTGGTTTCTTTCTTTTCTTTTTTTTTTTTTCCCTGTTCGTTTTTGTTCTGTTTTTCTGGTTTTCTCATTTTTCAAAAAATTTCAACTAAGTCTTTGCAGAGGGCATGGAAGCATGTGCCATCTTGTGGCTGTGTTCTTGCTGCATCTTCAATGTCTCCTTGCTTTCCTCCCCAACGTTTGCCGAAGCCCCGAGTGGCTCTGAGGTTGGGTGTGGCGCTGTGAGGAGCCAGGTCCCTGGCCTCTCCTTTGCCAGCCTAGAGTGGTGAGAGCGCTGGGTGTAGACTCAGAAGAGCCTCGACCCTGTATCTGCTTTCTGCTTCATTGTTCACCCTCCCCGATCCCTGAGCATGAAAGACATGGCCTCAGTCCGGCAGGACTTGAACTCCTCAGGAAGTTAGCGTCCTGCTTTATTTGGTGTTTTCAGTTTCTAGACCTTTCGTGAGGTAGACATGTCCGAGGTCCTCTGAACGTATTGCTGCATCTGTGGCTGTTCACGTCCCTCCTGTGAACACACAAAGCGAACTTTCTGCTGCCCCTGCTCAGTGGCAGCTTCTACCTTCTGTTTGTTCCCTTAAAGATGATCCCTGTAGACGGCATCTGTTGATTGAAATGAAAAGTGAACTCACTTTTAGAAGTTTATGGAGGAATTTTTTACAAATAGGTCTTTATACAAAGGTGAAAAACATAGATGAAAAACTTCGTGCAAATACAATATTTGTTACGAAAAGTTTTGGGGAAAGTTATTAAATATAGCAGCAAATGTAGTATGGGGTTAGAGCTAGGAAAAACGAGTAGGACTTTGAGGTGTATTTCAGGATTTGTAACTTTTTTTTTTTTAAGAGCAACCTTTGGATGTATTTTGGACATCCAGCGTTTTATTTTTTGAGATTTAAAATTAGGCAAGCATTTCAAAACCTGACTGATACTGTGAGTCCTGATATTTCTACATCCTTCAAAGAGGCTTTCAGTTTCTTTTGTTGTTTCTCAAGGACTCGTGAGTGAAAACCCTCCTAGAAACACACTTTGGCTGTTGAAATTTGCTGTTTTTCAGTTTAAGTAATTACCATCTTCAGATTAAGAATAAGCATAAAGCTTGAGTACAGAGAAGTCAGATACAGTTCTAGCTGGACTGGTTAAGCCACTGGTCTTAATCGCTCACCTGGAGTTTCGAGGTTGAGATTGTTGGTTGACACCGACCCTTCGCTGCTTCTCCTGAGTTTGCACTAGCCACTTGCTGAGCTTTGCACACTGCTGTTCTTCCTCTGTCAAAACAGTGTCGTCGCTTGGAACACCAGATTTCCGCTTCACGTTGGAATGTTATTTCTCGCTCTGTATTAAACTACATGCTTTGTCTCGTGCAGGTGTTGGCTTATGGCAAGACGCATGGTGTAACTTAACATTCTTCTCTTATTTTTCATTCGGTTTTGTTTTAAGTTCTGCGTATGGTAGCAGACGTGTTTGCAGTTTCTCTGCTTTAAAGGCTGCTTGTTTGGAACCAGTATTTGTAACCAGTAGATTTGTTACTTGCAGAAATATTTTTAAAACAGTGTCTGATGGCCTTGCAGTTTGAAATTCAAGAAACAGAACCATATGTACCCAAGCACTGTAGGTGATTGTATTGTAGACTTCAAGTTTAAAAAGGAAACTTTCAAGTCTGTTCATATTTTTTTTAGAAAATGCCAGGATTTCTGTAAGAAGCACAGAAAACATATTTGTTGTTGTCTGTTGCACGTGGCGTGGCCTGTGAAAAACTAGAAATGATGGGTTTCTTTGTAGTGGTTAGTTTCATGTTGAAATGTGTTTCTACAAATGATACCTGAAACAAAATGTTTTAGGTAACAATTAAAAACAAAATATGGTGCTCTCTGGCATCTGTTTCATAAGCGTTCTACCTGATGCCTTAGTTTAAAATCCTATTAAGTGGCTCCAAACGATGAAGTTTGCTTTCTTGCGCTGGCGCGAGCTTGTTGGCCAAAGGACTTTGGCCTTCAGTCGGCAGCCTCTGGCTCCACTTTCCGAGCACTACTACCCCTTTAAAAAGGACCGATTCTCCCCTTTGTTTTATGGGTTGAATTGACCTGGTTATCTTATCTGACTGGTGTTTAAAATTTAAGTTCCTATTTTTAATCTCAGGGGAGCCGTCTTAACTCTTTCTAGGGATATTCTGTAAATCTTTGAAAAAATGATACTCCAGCATTTAACCAGAGCTCAGAGCTCACCTCTGAACTCCCCAACTCCTTCACTCTGTAGTGTAACAGACCCTCTCAAATAACCACAGGGCCCTGTTTTGCTCGAATACCCTGCTGGTCAGACTGTGGAGATGGCCGAGAGAAAGCAGTGTGCTCTCTGTCCCTAATCATAAGACTTGTAACCCCGAAGCCCCCACCCCTTTCTTCTTTAATCTCTGCAAGTTAACAATCTACAAGCAACTTCTTGTAAGATGTGACTTTTTCTTTCATCTGGAAAACAAAGAGGAAGCCGAGAGCGAGTCAAGTCCGGATCTCTCTGTGTGTGTTTCCTTGCAGCAGGCCTGGCCCGGAGGAACCCAGCAAATTCTCCTGCCTTCCGCTTGGCAACAGTTGCCGGGGGTGGCTCTGCACAACTCCGTCCAGCCCACAGCAGTGATCCCAGAGGCCATGGGCAGTGGCCAGCAGCTCGCAGACTGGAGGCAAGTGCCGGGGCTCCTCTCTGGGGGACTTGCAAGGGCAGATCGCACCGGGGAGGGGCAGCCTGGTGAGGCTGGGAGGAACATGAAGAAAGGAGAGGTTTATCTCTGTTTGAAATTCTTTAGGAAGAGGACCCATATGGTTATATGTAAGCTTCGAATACAGGAAAATAATAGGCTTTAGGCTCAGGAATCCTTTACTTCAGATCTAAAGAAAGTCTCATGCAGTTAGAAACCCCGTGAGGAGAACCTGTGGCCTCGTCACCCACGTGCCACGTGACAAGTAAAATGCTGCACTTTGGGTCGTTGGAGTTGCTGTTCACAGCTCTCTCGCCCTCATCTGCCCGTGTGTCGGGCATTCACTCCTCCCCGTCCCCTCCTGTTGGCGCAGGAGTGCCCACTCCCATGGCAGCCAGTACAGCACGGTCATGCAGCCGCCGTCCTTGCTCACCAGCCACGTGACTCTGGCCACCGCTCAGCCCCTGAACGTCGGTGTCGCCCACGTCGTCCGACAGCAGCAGTCCAGCTCCCTGCCTGCGAAGAAGAACAAGCCGTCCGCGGCAGGCTCTTCCAAGTAAGCCCCGTGGCAGCTGGGAGGTGACCCCGGGCCCGTTCGGGAGAGGCGGTGCCCGGCATCTGGGGCGCTAGGGTCCGGGCACTTTGGGGACGAGACAGCCAGTGGCTGCCCGGCCGAGGAGGAGCCAACCTGTCACCCAGGCGTGCACATCACACGTGTTCTGGCGAGCCGATCCTTTCTCTCTGCCGGCCTTGGCTACGCCCAGACTTTCACTTTTCTGCCCACTTTACGGATGAAGGTTAACCATGGGGGAAAAGGCATAACAAAAATAAGATTGTGCTTGTATTTCAGTGTTCTCACCCCTGGAAACCCCGGCTGGGGTGGTTGGTTTACCTTTCGTTGGAACTTTGTAGTTTAAGTGTGTATTAGCTTAGTGATGGGGTGAAAGGGAAGCAAAGAGCAAACTGGGGAGGGTTGGGGGGAGAGGAATTACAGTCTTGGGGTCCGAGAACTGAATGGTCTTTCTTACAACCTCTTCCTACAGGTCTTCTCTGGATGCTCTGCCTTCTCAAGTCTATTCTCTGGTCGGGAGCAGTCCCCTGCGCTCCACGTCCTCCTATAATTCCCTGGTCCCTGTCCAGGACCAGCATCAGCCAATCATCATTCCAGACACTCCCAGCCCCCCTGTGAGTGTCATCACTATCCGCAGTGACACTGATGAGGAAGAGGACAACAAATACAAGCCCAGCAGGTAAGATGGGTGGACGGTTCACTGGCTTGCTGGCTGCTACCCTTGGCCTTGACTGGTGGCCTCAGGCGAGTGGCCCGGCTTGGGCTGTCAGAGGAAGGACTAAAAAGAGGTATTTTGGAAGCATGGCTTTGGATGCGTGAGCCAAAACCCTCAAGTCTCCCTAACGGAGCACTGTCAGGTCTCCTGCAGTGTTCTGCATGCTCATCAGTGAGACCAGCCCTGCAGGCGCACCAGGCAGAAGGCGTGTGCGGAGTTGCCGGGCTGCGCTGGCCTGGAGCGCACATGGTGCTGCACTGACACGGTCCCTCCGTCTCGGAGCTGTTGAGGCTGAAACCAGCTGCGCGACAGAGGCACGTGGGCAGCAGTTAGTTGGAACGAGTCGGCAGACCCGAGAGTGTTTGAGGCTCGTGTAGCTTCTTGCTCTGAAAAGGCCTCTTTGGAAGAGGTAGAAATTGAAATAGCATTGCTTTCCTTTTTTCTCCTCTGCTGTATGGTCTGAAAAGGTTAAGAATTTAAGTACCAGATTATTTCCTCTTATCCCAGCACCTTAATCCAAGTCCTTCAGTGGGCAGTTAACTAAGAGTGGGTGCATTTAAGAACTGGGACACCCTCTCTCTCTCGCGCACGTGAGTGTACTGGGGTCAGTTGCCTTTATGGTCCGGACTTGTATTCTTCGCTGGGCTTCTGCTGTCAGACATGCAGAAGGGGGAAGAAGCCACTTTTACATGAAAGCAATGTAGGAGACTTCACAGAGTCATCAGTCTGGATGTAAAATAAGTGTAAATGAACTTGAAGAGTAATTTTAGAATGAACTACTTCAAAAGGGCTATTTACAAAACGGTATCTGCAGTTAGAAAACGGTGTTTACAAATGGTAAGTAGACTTGACACTAAGTTGTGAAAGTGCTCATTGAACTGATTTGGGGAAGAGAAAAAGTAAACTTTCCAGCGAGGATAAGTATCCTAGTAGTGGCAAAAAGTTACGTAACTAGCGGGATTGCTTTGACTGGAGCTAAGTCTTTTAAAGGAAAAAAAAAAAGGAAAAACTAAAGGTAGTAAGGTGGGATCAGTTTGCGGAGGAACTTAAAAACTAGGTTGGGTGAGAAGTTTGGTTGGCTCTAATGAGGAGCCTGCATCAGTCTGTCGGGGGCAGGAGGAAGCAGGTGTTTGAGCAGTTCTGTCGAAACAGCCGGGACTGGGCCTGGCGAAGCGGCAGCACGGCCTGGCTGGGGGAGGCCTGCGCTCTGGAGGCGCTGGCCCGGGGTCTGAATCCTGTCCTACCGCCTGCCTGCCCTTGATCAAGTTTCTTAGTTCTCCCAGGCCTCAGTTTCCTCGTCTGCCAAATGGGGATAGCAGTGCCTACTTCACAGAAGTGTCCTGAGGATTCCAGGTGTGTGTAGAGTGTAAGAACAGTGCCTGATGCATCATAATAAGCACTCAGAAGTGCGGCCGCTGTTATAATTGTCAGTCACTGTCACCATCATGGTTACCGTGGGAGGACAGGAGGCCCTCACAGAAACAGCGCTGAGGGGTGTCGAGTGTTCCTGCGTCTCCTTCTCCGCAGCTCTGGCCTGAAGGCGAGGTCGAATGTCATCAGCTACGTCACTGTCAACGACTCTCCGGACTCCGACTCTTCCTTGAGCAGCCCCTATTCTGCGGACGCCCTGAGTGCTCTCCGGGGCGATAGTGGGCCCCTCCCGGAGGGCTCCGGCAGGGGCGGGGGTGACGGCACGGGCACTGGCACCCGCACCATCATTGTGCCTCCGCTGAAGACGCAGCCGGGCGACTGCACTGCGGCCACGCAGGCCTCGGGTGAGTGTCTGCACCGCGGGCGTCTCGCTGTCCGCCCTTGTGCGTGTCCTTCCGCCTGGGCTGGAGACCCGAGGCGTAGATGTCCTTGAAGATTACTTAACTCAGAAATTAGTTCCCTGTTGTAGGCAATTATTTTTGGCCATTGGTTTATCTTTTCTCTGTTTATTTTGCTTGGATTAATGAGAAAAAATGAATTTGTAGTGTCAGAAATACACGCACTGCTGATGGGAGAAGGTTGACAAGACATACGTTATATGGCAGGGAGAATTAGCAAGCATTTTTTGTTTTACCACAGGTGATTTGTTTTGATGATCCAGAAGTGGGCAGGAACCGATACTGTTAAAAGTGACTACACAGATGTTTTTGGAAAACAATATGCACTTCAGATTTTTTCTCTGCCAGTGTCATAGCAGTGATGCTTTTCTGGGTTTTAGTATCAAACGAATCACCTTTCTGTGTGCCGTCGGATGCCAGGCCTAGGCTCCTTGGGTCGGTACTGGGGATGCTCACTGTGGCGCTGGGCGCGGATCTCCTCACCTCTGACTCATGTGACCGCCCACTGCCAGTGTTCCTGGTCGGGAGCCTGCAGTGAGTTCAGGGTCAGAACCTCGGCCTCCTCAGCCTCTGGTCGGAAGGGGCAAGAAAGTTGAGGGGAGGCACGCACATGTCTTAACCTCTTTAGCCCTGGAAATAGTGAAAACCAAATTGTGGCCCCACCCAGAGGCAAAGGGCCCAGGAGATGTAGTCCTTGACTAGGCGGCAGTTTCCGGTGGACACTACACAGCAAAGGAGGCGGCATGCATTTTTGGTGTCAGTATAGCTGTCTCCACTGTGTTTGTGTGACTCGGTGTTTTGCTGTGAATAACGTTATACCAGAGACAGACACTGGGTTCTAATAGGAAGGTATTGTGTTACGTGCAGCCAGCTGTCCCTTGCAGACAAGGCAGAATGTCTCTGTCAGGCTACTGAGCAAGGCTGTTAGGAGATCTGTCCATGGTTGGGCCCAAAGGCAAGAGCTCTCCACAGTCAACTGTTCAAAGCTCCAGCCTTCCTCATGGGAGCCAGCAGGATGCAAGATTTCGAAGACTGATTTTGCTTATTCAACTGCCCTGCAATTTCTTAGAATTTGAAGACAATGCGTGCCCAACAAGATATAATCTTGCCTTTCTTTAAACCCTTTTGATACTTAAATGTCCTAAGTATTAGCCACATCTAGCTCAGCCTCGCATTGTCCTTGCTGCACTTTTTTCATCCCTTCCTGCATAAAACTAGGCCCCCGGCGGGGGGAACTGTGCCTTGTGCTTGTATTTCATTAGTGCCTTGCACGTTACAAAAGATTGGATAATACTTACCGAAGTATACATGCTGCAGGTCCCTTATGAGCTTCGTAGCGGGACCGGAAAGAAACGGATAATACAGTCTGTGTTCTGGTGTAAATGCAATGCAGGAAACAAGGCACGCCTAAAACCTCACCTCCCGCCAGCCTCGCACAGCCGGGCACCGAGGACACTGTGTGAAGCCGTCTGAGGTTTAGCCCGTGACCCCGAGCGGGTGGCTTCTCCTAACTAACGAAGGCCTGCCTGACTGACTTTCAGGTCTCCTGGGCAGTAAGACCAAGCCGGTGGCCTCAGTGAGTGGGCAGTCATCTGGATGCTGCATCACCCCCACGGGGTACCGAGCTCAGCGCGGGGGGGCCAGCACAGCGCAGCCGCTCAACCTTAGCCAGGTAAGCGCTGGGGACTGCTGGCTTCTGTGCGGGGCCCTGCCTACTGTTACTCTCTGGAGAACCCCGCTTCTGGCTGGACCCCTGAATAAAGCCAAATGAAGCTCCTTTCGTGTCAGACCATTGGGCGTTCTGTGGCCTGTCAGATCTGCGCGTGCCGTGCCTCTCCGCCCCGGTGGAGTGTGCTTGGGGCGGACAGCCCAGGCTTCCCACCAGTCCTTCTAGTCTGTCCTGGGAGATTAGAGAAGCATCTGGAATGTAGAAGGAGCCTGAGATGCCTTAGTCCGTGTCTGGTTCTGCACCACCCCATCCTTCCAGACCAGACTCTCTTCCTTTAACTAACTCCCAGATCAGAACTAACTCGAGCCTCCCACTGTTTACTTGAGGCAAGAGACAGGGGAAAGCTTTCTGGCCACCTAGTCAACCAGTGCTAGTCCTACCTGTTGTGTGAGTCTGGGGCGTGGGGCTTTCTCCTCCCATCTGATCGTCTGGCGGTGTGGCAGGGGGCGGGGGGGGGGGGTCACTATTCTATTTGTGTTCACGCTTTCCTCGGCTCAGATTCTGGTGCTTGTGTGATGTCTACTAGTAGTGAGAAAAGTGCACATGTGAGGGTGTGATTCTGTGTGTGTGTGAAAGACAGAGAAGAGCATGTGTAAGTGCAAATGTAAGTTCGAGTTAGTGCATGTGTTTTAGGCTCCACAATTCAAGAGGGATATGAAGAACTTAGAGGAGAACAAGAGAAAACATGGCCGAGAAAGAAAGGTTAGGAAAAATTCAGATTCACTGACGCCAGAATAGGGTGAGTTGAGTCGCCAGTTACTACCCTGCAGGAGTGGGCACCCCTCTGAACTCTCGACCCTGCCCCCCACCCCTGTCGTGCTTGAGAGCACAGTGCTGCCCCCTGGGCTGGGTTAGGGTCTGGGCTGCCCAGAAGCAGTGTGAGTTCAACCCTGAGCTCTCGGCTCGGCCTTGGCTGCTCCGGACCGGAGTGACCGCGAGATTCCTGATGCCCTCCTTCCTCCTTCCAGAACCAGCCGTCGTCATCAGCGCCAGCCCCGCAGGAGAGAAGCAGCAACCCTGCCCCCCGCAGGCAGCAGGCGTTTGTGGCCCCGCTCTCCCAAGCCCCCTACGCCTTCCAGCATGGCAGCCCACTGCACTCGACGGGGCACCCACACCTGGCCCCGGCCCCTGCTCACTTGCCAAGCCAGCCTCACCTGTATACATACGCGGCCCCCACCTCCGCTGCCGCGCTGGGCTCCACCAGCTCCATTGCTCATCTCTTCTCCCCCCAGGGCTCCGCGCGGCACGCCGCAGCCTACACCACCCACCCCAGCACTCTGGTGCACCAGGTCCCTGTCAGTGTGGGGCCCAGCCTCCTCACCTCTGCCAGTGTGGCCCCCGCTCAGTATCAGCACCAGTTTGCCACCCAGTCCTACATTGGGTCGTCCCGGGGCTCAGCCATCTACACTGGATACCCACTGAGCCCTACCAAGATCAGCCAGTATTCCTACTTGTAGTTGGGGAGCCCAGGGGGAGCCCCACAGCCACCTCTCCTGGCTCCAAGCTCTTCGCTGTGGGCTCCCAGAGCCTCTGCCTCACTGTCTCTGGAGACTCCTCAGCCGGCACCTTGCTCTGCAGGGGCCACTGGAGCAGAAGGGTTTTCTCCAGGAACCTGTGTCGGTGTCGGCCGCCTCCCTGTAGCCTCCCAGTCCGCCCTCCTTGTCACCCTTTGTCTTCCGACTGCAGCTTGGTGTCCGGGAGAGTTCAGGTGCCCCTCTTCTGCCGTTCCCAAGGAGGAGGATCCTTCTGAAGTCACCCTCCGAAAAATATTTTCTCTATTTCTATAAATGCTTTTAAAAACAAGCGAAGCCCCTTTTTATTTAACGTCGTTTTGTCGTAGTTGCTGTTCAGAGGGAAAATGCTGATGGAAGGACTTGAAACCTGGCAATAAGTGAGAAAAGAAAAATCAGTACTTTTTGCTGTTTAAGAACCAAGACTTAAAATTGCCTACTTTAAGAATAGCTCTCACAAGTCCTCATTTTACTATCAGGCATTTCTCCTCAAGATTTTACTTTTGTTTGTGAGCTATTTAAACTTACAATGTTTTAGCTTTGTTCTCATGTCACATTATACTCAAGGGTCAGTTGTCACTTCTGCGGAATGCATACTGCTCTGTGTTATCGTTGGGGTTCTCCAGCCGCTCCTGTATCTATTACAAAGTAGTGTTGAAAAGGCAGCTCTCCGCCTGCTGGTTAACTTCGTGCGAGAGCTCCTGCCGTGAAAACACAGAACACCAGGTATTCTTTTTAAGTGAAGCACCATGCATTCTTTTAAAATTATTTTTTAAAAAGTCCTACTCTGGGTCAGCTTAAATTTCATTATGGAAAAGCCATGCAGGTGGTTATTATTGTGTGGTGGTGGTGGTTTTATTATATGCAAAAATCTCTTTGTATTATGTGATACTGGCATTAATGAGCTTTGCCTAAAGATTAGTATAGTATGAATTTTCAATAACACACCTCTCTCTCTCCTCGCCTCCCCTCTCCCTTCTGTTCTCTGTGATTTATCTGGGGAGAAAGCTAAAGAATCTGAAACCAGATGAGAACATTGTGTATAGCTTTTATACTTTAAAGTAGCTTCCTTTGTATGCCAGCAGCAAATTGAATGCTCTCTTATTAAGACTTATACAATAAGTGCATGTAGGAATTGCAAAAAATATTTTAAAATTTTATTACTGAATTTAAAAATATTTTAGAAGTTTTGTAATGGTGGTGTTTTAATATTTTGCATAATTAAATATGTACATATTGATTAGAAAAATATAACAAGCAATTTTTCCTGCTAACCCAAGATGTTATTTGTGATCAAATGTGTAGTGATTACACCTGAATTGTGTATTTAGTGTGTGTCTGACCCTCCAGTGTTACCCCGGAGATGGCACTGATGTCTCCATTGTATTTAAACCAAAAGGAACTGATACTTGTTGGAATGTATGTGAACTAATTGCAATTATATTAGAGCATATTACTGTAGTGCTGAGTGAGCAGGGGCACTGCCTGCGAGGGGAGGAGACCCTTGGAATCGTTTTGCACAGGTGTGTCTGGTGAGGAGTCGTTCAGTGTGTGTCTCTTCCCTCCCTCCTCCTCCTTCCCTTATTGTAGTGCCTTATATGATAATGTAGTGGTGATAGCGTTTACAGTGAGCTCGCCTTAGGATGGACCAGCAGGCCCGGTGGGCCCTCCTCCGTTCGCTGGGGTTTGTCAGAACAGGACGAGTAGCCGTGTTGTGTCAGTGCGTTGTTCTCAGCTTCCCTGCCGATGTTGAAAAACAGAAATAGCAGCTTTTCTCCTTCTCCACCATTCTGCCTCCTTTGCGTTTTGGTGTCGCAGCCGAGCTCTCCCAGAGCCGTTGTCCCCGAGAGGCTCTCATGGCGCGTCGCTGCCCTGCTGCTGTGAGTGCCTGGGGAGCAGGTGGGGGTGGGGGCAAGCCAGGATTTACTAGGCATTTCGACTTTTTAAAAAGTATGTGCAATCACTTTGAGAATGAGATCCCCCCCTTTCCCCATGTGGCAGTCCTTCCTGCAAATAGCTGACATTCCTAGTGAAATACTTGCCTGTCAAAAAAAAACATGTAACAGACGTGTCTATACCAAAGAGCCTGTCGTACTGCTTCCCGTGTCCCCGTGCTGCCAGGGGTAGTGTTGTGATGCCGCTGTGGCAGGGAACTCACAGAAAGGTTTCTTAGCTGGTGAAGAATATTAAGAAGGAACCAGAGCCAGCTGAGTCATTGGGCTTTTTGAGGTTTCTTTCTTAACAACTAGTATATTCTTGGGGCCCTTCCAACTGTGAAATCGTCCTTGTACTCTCAGCTCCTGCATGGATCTGGGTCAAGTAGAGGGTACTGGGGATGGGGATGTTCCTGCCCGTAAAAGATTTGGGGGGAGAAGGTTGATCTAAGATGCAGTGTTCCATCTGAACCGAGAGTGACATACCAGAGAGATAGTCTAGGACCGGTTCTTCGTGGAGATGGTGCCAAGGAGGTGCAGGATGGAGCTGGGAGACTGCGTGGGGGCCGGTCAGCGAGCTCTGCACCGGGTCGAACACCAAGGAGCTGTCAGGGTATTTGGAGTTCTTCACTGTAAGGAGCAAGGGCTTCCAGGACGGGGCAGACCGCCAGTACAGCCTCCCAGGAACATGTCGGTGTTTTCTGTGTGTTTTTAAATCGTATGGAGTTGTGTTCTCAGCACTGTGTTGGTCAGGACACCCACGCAGTTAGTATAGTTTCTGTCGTTAGTGTTACACAGTGTTCTGGTCAGCGCGTGTGATCTCCGTGTCTCCTTTTTGCCAAGCACATTCTGATTTTCTTGCTCAAGGGCAGATCTAGTTTCTAATGGAATCATTTTTTTGTTCTTTATCTTCCCTCTGCAAGGGTTAGGAATTGCCATTTTTCAAGAAACGAGATGCGGGGTGGGGAAACCCACAAAACACTCCACTCCTGTCCCCAATCCAATAGATACATACATCATTTAAGACGCAGAGGAAAAGACAATACCAAGGTCTTCTATTGTTACCTTAATCATCTTGCTAGCATTGTGTGGCTTTAGGGATTTTAGAGATTTTCAGTCTTAGTTTAAAAATTGGCATTTTGGATTTACCAAGACAAAAGTCCACCCGTGTCTGCTGAATGTGCGTGTGCTCAGTGTGGCTCTGGACTCTGCGCCTGGGGCTCGCCATGTCTGGCCCTGGCAGGACCGGAGAGGCCCTGGGGATTCAGTGAGCAGCAGGCCTGGGCCACGGTGGCCTGGCCCCAGACCAGGTGAAGGCCCCAAGGCCTCTCAGGAGTTGCATTTTCAGCTCCTGCCCTTCAGGGTGAGAGAGCAAGTAGGGGAATGTGAAGAACAGCCACTCAAGGCTCGTCAGGACCCCGATCACTCGAGTTTTTACTAGCTCCCAAGAGGGGATCCCACCGTCCGAGCTCAGCTGAGAGCTGGCCCCGGGAGCAAGAACTGCATTTCAGACCGTTCTGAAGGGCCCTCCATAGCCCTCCCCGAGGGGGCTGCGCCTGGCTGCCCTTCGCCAGGCAAGCACAGCAGCGGGTGTTGTAGTCAGCGTTATTATGCAAAACCCACTGGTTATGATGGTTTGCTCTAAGTTAGGAAATGAAATTGCCTCTCAGTGACAGATACGGCCCAGGCCTGCTTCCTGTTCCCGGTTTTGTTTTTAACTGATGGATGGTGCAGCATGTCTACATGCTTGTTTGTTGCTGAACTTATATAACGTGTGGTTTTGATTCAGCTCGAAAAATAATCTCACTACATGTAGCAGTACATTATATGTAATGTTAGTATTTCTGCTTTGAATCCTTGATATTGCGATGGAATTCCAACTTTATTAAATGTATTTGATATGCTAGTTATTGTGTGCGATTTACACTTTTTTTGCTTTTCCCCTTTTCTGGTTGTGCGCTTCCTTTTACAACAAGCCTCTAGAAGCAGTTTCTGAGAATTACTGAGTTATGTTTGTAATGCAGATGTACTTAGGGAGTATGTAAAATAATCATTTTAACAAATAAATAGATATTTAAAATTTAATACTAACTATGGGAAAAGGGTCCATTGTGTAAAACATAGTTTATCTTTGGATTCAATGTTTGTCTTTGGTTTTACAAAGTAGCTTGTATTTTCAGTATTTTCTATATAATATGGTAAAATGTAGAGCAATTGCGATGCATCAATAAAATGGGTAAATTTTCTGATTCACGTGGCTGTTTTTGACTTTTGTTGTGGGATGCCCGTCCCGTGGCGCTCTCCCAGCCGCTGTCGGTGATGATAAGTCACCCCGGACACGACACGGTCTGTTGTTCCCGCGGGGAAGGGGGTGGCGGTTCCCTCTAGGGGAGAATGCCCGAGCCCGAGCCAGTCTCGGAAACAGCTTTCACTGAGATTGGCGTGCACAGGGATATATGTCAAAGGGCTCTATGGTTACAATAAACAGATACTGTTTATAGATGACAGTTGAAGAAACACAGAAATCTGCCTCAGGTCAGGGTCTGCTAGACACACTGGCATCAGAGGATCCTTAGGCTAAGGAGTTCACTCCTTATGATTTGAACTTAAACCTCTGGGTTTACAGAGGCAGGGCCATAGCAAAGCAAAACAAGCTTCAAAGGATGCAATGTAGATATTTCAGGCCTGACTGCCTGGGGGAACCCTCAGTGTTGTGTCGGGTGGTGCCTGCCTGCCTCCTGCGTTCATGGCATTCCAGTGGAGACTCACACAGGGAAGCCCTTACTCGGGGCTACAGTCTCCCAAACCACACAAAGCCGTCCCCAGCATTTCCTTATGGGGGTAGAAGGGGGATCAATAAAAGGCATCTTTGGAGTACCTAAATACACTCAAACATTATTTGGCAAATTATATATTGAAGACAAGTGTATTTTTCATGCAGACCCCACAACAGAAAGGAGGCGGCATCGGTAGGGAACATTTCTGAGAACACGGTTCCAGGCCCCTGACTTGAGATCATTGGGGTCTGGCCCTTCCCAAGAGGCGGAAACGTCTGACACAGGCGAATGAAACGTTGTTTCCTAGCGTGTTCCACCCAACACCTAAAGGAGCAGAATGAAAACGAAGCTCACCACGAGAAGATGCTCCTCTTCCCTCTGTTCACGCTGCACTGTTAGAAGCAAAGTCCTTTTTAGGGAAGGAGCATTTCCGGTCAGATTTCTCTGGATTCTGAAGGGAGTAAACTTGCTCCAGATAAAGAATTAGAGATGGGTCTGGGTCAGGCATTGCAAGTCTCCGACTAAATGCTGCCTTCGTTGGGTTCCTTTGGACACGTGTTTCAGGCCACGTTAAACCCCGCAGTGGCCACCAGTGCAGTGCGTCTGGGGCTCCTGAAGTCCTAGCTGGGATATAGAAATAAGAAACATTTAGGAACACTTTTAAACTACAACAAGAGAAATGATCAAGAGTCCTTTCCCATTAGTAGGGAAGCCAGAGTATATTTATTTTGATTTACACTGCACATATTTTTCCGATGTTTTTCCTGAGTAAATAAGTGTAAAATTAGTGTCAGCTTGCTGAACATGCCCCAGTTAAGAAAAGGCAATACCTAGAACCTTTCAGGCAAAGGAAAGCCATCTAGTAAGGCTTTGCTGTCAATCAGGCTTCCAGGCAACCAAGAGTTTACTTCTCAGTGACTTGTTTTTGTGTTGTTTTCCAAGACGTTTTTGACCTGTTATATTTTCTTTTTAGGCTAGACCAGAGAGAGATTGGGATTGCCCCATAAGCAACTGGGTAGTCTGTGGGGAAATCTGCATTTTAATGATAAAAATTCCTATAAATTCACTATGCTTGGCTTGCTTTGTGGAAAATTCCACATGAAGTTCAAGTCAGCCTCGGTTTCCCTATTAATCTTGAGATGATACCTAAGGTTTAGCACTAGATGGCGCCAATGAGCTATGGGAGAAGGTCGTGCAATTGGCTACTGAGGCTTCCACCCCGCCCAAAACCTTTCCCACTCAAACCTCATCTCCCCTGCTTCCAGCTTCCACTGAACAAGGCAAAAAACAATCTGTGCTGTTACTGTTGGGAAGGGAAAGGATTAATGAAGGTTCTTTCTTATGTCAGTGCTGGAAACCTTCTGAGACATGGGAAGAGTTTGCTGTTTTCTCCGGGGCCCCCCCGGCCCAGCTTCTTTTCCCGGGTGGCCGCCCAGGAGGAGGCTCTGCCCCAGGGTTTCCATCTCCTTCCCCTCTCCCGAGGAGCCCACAGCCTAGGCTGGAGGTGGTTAAGGCTTCTGGCTGCTCTGCAGCGGGGCCATCTGTGTTTGATCAGTCCAGGCAGGAAGGAGGGGCAGGGGCTGTAAAGGGCCTGAAAGCATTCCAGAGGAGTGAGAGAGACCCAGAGGTCCGGAAGGACGAGGCCCCGCCCCCGCCCCGCCTCCAGCGCGAACCCGCGGGCTCCGGCGAAGAGGCCCCGGCCCACCACTGCACACTCCTACCCCTGCCCGCTCTCCCGCTGCCATGGGGCCCGGCTCTCCTCTCTTCATCCTGCTCCTTCTGTCATTGTGGGGACCCCTTCGGGGGCAGCAGCACCACCTGGTGGAGTACATGGAACGCCGACTAGTTGCCTTAGAGGTGAGAGACTCCTTTCTCTTCTATCCCGGTTTGTCAGGTATCAGGCATCTAGGGAGAAGATTGGGCTCTGTAAAAACCTACAGAAAGCTCCGCCTTTCACTAAGAAGATCCTCTTTCCCCACAAACACAGAGCAACTCACACCTTTGTGCTGCCCCCACCCGGGGAGGGATTAGAGAGCAGAGGGACACGGAGTGGAAAGGAGAGCTAGGAGGTGGGGATGCATCTGAGAATTCTGTTCGGTTGTTGCAAGCTCCCACACAACTTTCTGCCATTTTAACCCTTTGAAGTCTGTAGCATCCTAATCCCAGGAGAATTGTGTAACCGAGCAGAGACCCCTCCCCACCCTGGGGGCTCAGGGACTCAGTGGCCCGGCTCACAGAGAACGCAGGCTGGAGGACACACCATAGGGGCAGGGGCCGGGGTGAATCTGAGCCAGGCTTTCTGCACACTTAGCATCTCTGAACGTCTGGCTTCCTTTCTACAGGGGTAGAAGGGGTCGATGCTGCCGAGCTGAGTGTGCTTTCCCCCTTTCCCGACTCCCTGGTTGGGCCTCTCCCTGCCTGGGAGTTGTAAGCCCGCAGCCCTCCCCCCTCCCGCCCCCTCCCTGCAGGAGCGGCTGGCCCAGTGCCAGGACCAGAGCAGTCGGCATGCCGCTGAGCTGCGGGACTTCAAGAACAAGATGCTGCCGCTGCTCGAGGTGGCCGAGAAGGAGCGGGAGGCCCTCCGAACTGAGGCGGACACCATCGCGGGGAGAGTGGACCGTCTGGAGCGAGAGGTCGACTATCTGGAGATGCAGAGCCCAGCTCTACCCTGTGAAGACGTTGGCGAGAGAGTGGCGGACGGCGCTGGGACCAAAGGCAAGGGCAGAAGAAATGAGAAGTATGACATGGTGACAGGTAAGCGATCTGAAAGCCGGCCCCCGACTCGGAGACCCGTGCTCTTGCGTGGGCAGCAGCCCGCACGGAGGGATCGAAGCCCCGCAGGCCACACTGAACTGCCCTCCACTGCTCCCTTCCTCCTCCTCCTCCTCCTCGCCCCAGACCGCTCCGGCTGTGTCTTTGGAATCTGCCTTAGGGCAGCTCTGCAGTGACAGGTCCATGAAGGGGAGTTGCCGTGGGCCCAGGCCCCCTGTGGTGCCCTTTCCCCTCAGTCCGCCATGAGAGTGGATGCCTCCAATGGGCAAATGTGTGCTGTCCTCCAGTGGCCGCCCCCGGGGGGTGGAGGGGTTGGGCGTCTGACTCTTGCCTGCATTTCCTTGTCCTGTGCTTCTCTCCTCGCCCACCAGACTGTGGCTACACAATCTCTCAGGTGAGGTCAATGAAGATCCTGAAGCGGTTCGGCGGCCCAGCCGGCCTGTGGACCAAGGACCCCCTGGGGCCGGCGGAGAAGATCTACGTGTTAGACGGGACCCAGAACGACACGGCCTTTGTCTTCCCAAGGCTGCGCGACTTCACCCTTGCCATGGCGGCCCGGAAGGCGTCCCGGATCCGGGTCCCCTTCCCCTGGATCGGCACGGGGCAGCTGGTCTACGGCGGCTTCCTTTACTACGCCCGGAGGCCGCCCGGGGGCCCCGGAGGGGGCGGCGGGCTGGAGAACACGCTGCAGCTCATCAAGTTCCACCTGGCCAACCGCACCGTGGTGGACAGCTCGGTGTTCCCGGCCGAGGGCCTGGTCCCCCCGTACGGGCTGACGCCGCACACGTACATTGACCTGGCCGCCGACGAGGAGGGCCTCTGGGCGGTCTACGCCACCCAGGAGGACGACAGGCACCTGTGTTTGGCCAAGTTAGACCCGCAGACGCTGGACACCGAGCAGCAGTGGGACACGCCGTGTCCCAGGGAGAACGCGGAGGCTGCCTTCGTCATCTGTGGCACCCTGTATGTGGTCTACAACACCCGCCCTGCCAGCCGGGCCCGCGTGCAGTGCTCCTTCGATGCCAGTGGCACCCTGACCCCGGAGAGGGCCGCCCTCCCTTACTTCCCGCGCCGGTACGGCGCCCACGCCAGCCTCCGCTACAACCCCCGCGAGCGCCAGCTCTACGCCTGGGATGACGGCTACCAGCTCGTCTACAAGCTGGAGATGAGGAGCAAAGAGGAGGAAGTCTGAGGAGCTCGCCTCTCTGACGAGTCTCTCTCCTCTCCGTGCAGTTGTAGCCCCACTGAATCTCCCGTCCTCATCATCCCGACGTGCGCGAGTCGTAGTTCAGATCTCGTATTCCTAGCCAGTGGAGGCCACGTTCCCAGGGCCTCTTCATTCCATGTGGGATCGTGAGGAGTCCTTTTGGAGCTAAAGGGGGAAAGAAACCCTAAGGGTGCACTCTTCTCTCCTGCCCCATGTCCACAAATTTCAGGCCACAGATGACCCAGAACCAGAGCTCTGACCTCGTGTGGGGGTGACCCCAGTGAGAGGCCACAGAGTACGTGCCTCTGTGTGGGCTGGAGGAGAGAGGGCTGGGAGACGTTCCGCTCGGCCGTCTCTCCCTTCAGTGTCCTCAAGAATGGGACTTCCTCCACCTCGTTTTGTACTGAAACGTCTTGCATTAAAAGGAAAACCCACTGCTCCTCGCCTGTGTGTGTTTGGGGTCACCCTCGGGTCCTGTTTCCACCCCATGACCCTCTGTTCCCTCCTCCACCCCACCCCCACTCCTTCGGAGGAGTCCACACTAGGGACTTGGCTGGGTTCCCTGGCTGCGGGAGAAGGAACTTCTCTCGTTACAGATTTTACTGTGAGGCGCTGGGGGAAGTAGCCGAATCGCGCCCCTGGAGGAGGCTGGGCAAACTTCTCCACACCCCCTTCCTCCCCAGCAGCCCTCCCAGAGCCACCAGTGGCACCGTGCCTCCGGCCACGAGACGGCCCAGGGGCAGGGTGTCCAATTCCAATTCTCAGAGGTTCTCAACCAGAAAATGAGTTTCAGTCGCATGGAAGTCTACTGCGGAGGCCAGAGGACCGCATGTGCTTCCAGTAAGAACGGGCAGCCTCATCTCTAGAGGAGAGACTCACTCGGCCCCCAGCCCCGAACCCCACTCCCATCGCCAGCATCAGGCTGGCCCCCAGGGTTGCACAATCGGACTTGGTCTGAACTCTGATTTTCCTGCTGCCACAGCGTCTGCGGTTTGGGTGGAGGGGCAGTGACCATGTCTGAGATGTTAGTTCTACCAGTTTCCCAACACACTCCCCCTCTCCACCCTCCTCCTCCCCTCTTTCCCACCCCGGGCCTGGAACCTGGCAGAAGTCCCTCCAGGAGTCCTGGGAACTTAACCCTTTCTTGACGGTACCCGGGCTCTGGTTTGCATCTGGGGAGGGAAGGGGGCAGGAAGAGGAAAACCCGGGGCTGTGGACTCCAGGCTCCAGGAGTCAACTGTTGAGCAATGTACCAGGCCGGCCCCTGCTTCGCCCCTGCCGGGCCCGGGGGAGCAAGGCTGCCTGCCTGGTGGACCAGACCCCCTGCGTTGTGGGGAAGTGGACCTCAGACCACCGTGGGAGTCCTCGTGGTGATTCACCTCAAGGGGGGAGGGAGAGGAACGTGGTCTTCTGCCCACAGTGCACCTGTCCACCCCCCAGAATAGGGTGGGTGGGCCAGGGCCCCCAGCGAGCCGCCTCTGCCTTCCCTGCTCAGGCGGAGCTGCTCCCCGTGGTGAGGAGGGGGAGAGCACGGCAGTAGGAGCCTGAGGCGGAGGGGCTTGCGCCCATTCCATTCTCTCCTAATGTGGGGCTGGCAGCCGTAATCACCGCCTGCCAGCCCGCAGAGGGGGCTGCCCACCGAACATCTGCCCCAGCGCACCGCTGGGAGGGCTGCAGCGGGGGAGAGGGAGGCCGATCTCAGGGGAGCCCGGAGACAGGGGTGCCCCCATGAGCAGGGCGGCCACGCAGCACTGTGGCTGTGCGTGGGTGCACCTGGCGGGAGTCTCCCCACGCCGTGGCGTGACTGCATGTCAGTGACTGTGTATGTCAGTGACTGGAAGCTGCCAGAGGGTGGAGTTGCCTCCACACATTGGCAAACGTCAGGACCGGCTTTCTGACGACCCCGGGGCAGGAACCGCTGCAGCCCTAAGAGTGTCGGCGGCACCGGTGTGAGCGTGAGAGCGGGCCCACCTGCCGCCCACCTGCGTGCCTGGCCTTGGGGCCTCAGCCTTTGCCTGCTTCCTCATGAGAAGGGGAAATGGAGGCTTTTTCCCCCTTTCTTTTTCCTTCTGGGCTTACAATTTCTTTGCAAAAGTTCTCTGAGGCTTCTGAAAGGGCAGAAATCTCTGGGGCCTTGTCATTTATTTCTTTTTGCTTTTTTTTTCCTGCTTTTTTTTTCTCCTTTTTGGCTCCTGTACAAAAGCTAGTGCTATTTTAGAAGCGTTCTGGAAGGTTAGTGGAACCGTGTGGACAGACCCAGTGAACTGCCCAAATTCCTTAAATTAAATTATCTGCTGCCCAAGGAGCCAGCCTCAGGAGCCGGGTCCTAGCAGTGGGCACTGGCCTCACCGCCTCCCCTCCTGAGACCCTCCTCACCCGTCACTTGGCAGAAACACAGCGTGGCCTTTGGTTTGGGTGGAAGGAAAGGCAGTGGGGGCAGAGGCTCTGGTGCGGGGAGGAGGGGCTGAAAGCCCGAGGAGAAGTCCCACACCTGCCCGCAAGGCCTGGCCCTAGGACAGCCGGCAGGGATGCCGGGGATGCGGGCACGGCCGCAGGAGGCAAGCGGGGCTGCTGTTGGGGGGACAGCCTCCCCCATATCACTGGTCCAGGTGCCGCCTCCCTGCCCGTCCAAGGCTTCCGAGGGCTTCCTCGCCGGCCCTGGCCTCAGCGTCTCCTGCCCCGACTTCCAGGCTCCCCTCTTTATTCTCAAGACCCCCCGCCGCCCTGGTGCTGGTCTTAGTATCTCCCTGCCAGAGAAACCAAAGTGTTCGCCTGGTCGTTTTCATCCAGAACCAGAGCCAAGGTCGACTGACCCCTGGGTGGGGGGAGGGAGGGAGCAGGGAGGCGAGGACCGGGCTGTTGATTCAGCTGTCCGTCTGCGCTTCCTCTGGGGTGGGGCCCGGAGCTAGACAGGACCCGGAGCCCTTTCCCTCCCCGTCCTCCCCAGTCTCAGGTCTGCTCAATCCCTTTCCTTATGGAGGCGCACCTTCCCTGGGCTCCTGGGAGCACCCCTTCCTCTGCGCTGCACGTCCCTGCCCGGTTTGGGTCAGAACAAGCTCAGCTGCAGAGCTGCCGAGACTCGCCTGGCTTGTGTGTGTCCCGGCCCTCGGGACAGACAGTTCCCGAGGATCTGCTGCCCAGGCTGCCCCTGGCTGTCCCAGCTCTGTGGGCTCAGCCCAGGGGGCGTGTTCTGGCCCCGAAGCCAGAGGGCAGGGGCTGTCCCTCTGCCCTTGGCCCCCAGCAGCGGCTGCCGCCTGTCCTGGCTGCTCTGCCCCGGCGGCAGCCGGGACGCTTCCTCCTCTGCCACCCCGGCCACCAAGGCTGCTAAGCTGTCCTCTGCCTGCTCTTTTAACTTCTGCTCTCACAGTGCAGAGCTTAAAAGATTAAATCTTTATTTATGGATTTAATAACTCCGCAGAAGAATTAGAGACGTGAAAGCTGGTGCATTAGAGGGCAGAGTGCGGAAGGAAAAGCGCCGACCTCTCAGGACCCTCCGTCCAGGGCCTGCCTGGCTCCGACGATGCTTCCAGTCGGACGTCTCTCTGGGGTCTGTGCAGCCCCCCACCGACTTCTCTGCGAGTGGCCACCCTCACTGCCCCGGACGTAGTTCCATGGCCCAAGGGGAACAAATCAGATTCTCTGTCCTGGGATTTGGAATCGCAGATCAGAGCTGTTAGGTCTGAGAAAGTGCTGGGAAGCATTTCTGCTTTGCCCGGAGAGGCCGAGAAAGCCAGAGCGCAGCGGGAAGGGGTGAGGCCCAGAGGGACGGGGTGAGGCGCAGCGGGAAGGGGTGAGGCAGAGCGGGTCAGAAGCGGAGGCAGGAGTGAGAGGGCAGCTTGTCCTGGCCGCTGTGTGTGTCCTGCCCCTAGCCACTCCTCCTGTGGCCACAGCACAGTTCTAGCCTGTGTGTCCTACTCAACGCTCGAGTCCTGAAAATAAACACAGTTGACTCTTGAACAACATGGGGGGTAGGGGTGCCGAAACCTCCCAGCCCCTGCCCCAGCAGAAGATCCACATACAACTCTTGACTCCCCCAACACTTAAATTGTGCCTCAGTATCCACTGTGGTATTGGTTCCAGGACCCCCGTGGATACCAAAAATGCAGAGGCTCAAGTTCCCTATATAAAATGGTGTCGATCAGCCCTGGCTGGTGTGGCTCGGTGGACTGAGTGCTGGCCTGTGAACCAAAAGGTCGCCGGTTCAATTCCCAGGCAGGGCACATACCTTGGTTGTGGGGCCAGGTCCCCAGTCGGGGGCATGTGAGAGGCAACTGATCAATGTATCTCTCACACACAGATGTTTCTCTCCGTCTCCTTCTCCCTCCCTTCCCCTCTCTCTAAAAGTAAATAAATAAAATCTTTAATAAATATGATGTAGATCAATGCATGTATTCAGCCCTTCCCAACCGCAGACTGAAAACAGCGTAGGGACTGACTGGGAAAAGTTGAACCCGCACAATCAAACCAGTGTTGTTCAAGGGCCGACTGTACCTCCTCTTCTTGGGTGATTTTTTTCCTTGCTCACATTAGTATGAGTGGGTCTCTGTTTCCTGCCACCCAAAGGTAACGCCTCATCTTCACCCAAAACCTCACCCGTCCCCCGGAATGCTGGGCAAATGACCCGACTCCCAAGGGCATTCCTGCCTGCCCGTGTGGGCCTGACCTGGGTCGTTTCGCCAGGGCTCGCTCAGGCCCCGCCCGCCCCTCCGTGACGCCCCCAGACGGCCTGGTCCCCTCCCCTCGCCCGTTCCCTCCCTTCGTGGTGTATAGTTTCTCGGCACGGCATTCGGCGGGGGGGGGCGGTCTGACAGGTGGGAACGCACAGACCGTGAGCCTGGCGAGCGTGGGGTCGTGGGGTCGGAGGCCTGGGCTCGGAGTCCGGCTCCGCCACCGCTCCCTGCTGGGACCCCTCGCTACTCCCTGTCTTACCTGTGAAGCAGCAGCAGCAGCAGCAGCATCCGCCCGCCCGACGGGGGTGGTGCTGTAAGAATTGGAGATGGTATATGTGGACTCTTCAGCGGCGTTCAGTCGTGGGTCGCTCCGGAACCCCACTCCCCGGGGGAGTCTTTCTCGGCCACCCACCCTCCCACCCGGCAGGGTCAGGGTCCTTCCCGCGGGCCCGATCCGCCCCGCGCACGTCCCAGGTGGAGCCCGCGCCCCCGAGTGCTGTGTCCGGCTCATCCTTGTGTCCCCGGGGCCTGACACGGAGACTGGCTCCTTCGCGGGGCCCCATAAATGCTCACACCGTGCCCCGCCCCCGTCAGGCTGTGGACCTGGGACCTGTGGGCGCACTTGTCCCCTCACTCGGGGCCTCACTCGGGGCCTCACTCGGGCGCAGCACGTGGCCAGCCGGCAGTGGGTGTGCGTGCTGGCGTTTTTCACTTTGGTTGGACACAGACAAGCCGCAGGTGAAAACGGAGAGCACTGCTCTGTCTCCTTT